TTTATTTGGAATTTGGATTTATTTCAGTGCTGTTCTATTATAAGGTACACTTTGATGAACATTCTTATAGATGCATCTTTTTTTGCTACTTTTTCTTTTGGATATATGCCTATATGTAGGTTGAGGAGTGTGCCTATTCAAAAGCTTCTACTATAAGTTGCACATCATTTTCTTGAAAGGTTACCTTTATATTCCAATCAGAATGAGTTTGCTTTTTTTCCTCCCTTCTGGTGGTGGTGGAAAAGTGGTGAGAACTATATATTTCATACCGACATTTTTAATGGTTGCAAAGTTGTGCCATTATATGTTCATAATTTATCTTGTCAGTTATAGTCTCATTTTTGGTATTATAATGTTTTGAAATTAATGGCTTTTTTAGCTAAATCTTTTTGCTCATACTTAACCTGTTCCTTAGAATAAAGTCCTTAAAGTAGAAATGATGAGTCAAAAAATATGTGTATGTTTAAAACTGCTCTTTCTATCAGCAGGGCATGGAAAGGGACATGCCTAATCTTTGGGAGTTATTTGGAGAACTACACCGTGCATTGCTGCTGTCAGGCTAAATGCATCCAGTAAAACTTATATGGAAACTTTTCGCAAATACAATTCTTTGACAATACCACTTTTGCATGTTGTACTTCAGATTTTGAGGCCCCAAATGTGAAAAGCTTGTTTTCCAGCTATATTATCTGATTTGTGACCTAAGGATTATTTCCAACAGCATCGTGTTGGAGACCAAGTCGTCAGCGACATCTCCAGAGGGGAAAGAGGGAGGAGTTTGGAAGTCTTGGCGTGAGATCTGAGCGCTCTGATTCGTCTGCGGGTACTCAGGTCTAAAGGGGTGCCCAGGAGCGCAGGCCAGGGTCCACCTGGGCGTGGTGGGACGCCAGCCCCTCCCCCCAGCCGGACGCCTGCCGAGGACCAGCCCATCCGGGCGCCTGTGCTGGGGGCGCGCCCGTGCCCACCAGCCCATCTTTCCCTCCGGAAGCGGAAGGGGCGGAGCCTGGCAGCAGGTCCCACCGCCTGCAGCCGCGCTGGAGGCCGGGGCGGGACTTCCGCTTCGTGAGGGGCTACTTCCGGGTTCGTGGGCATCGCTGAGGCGGCTGACAGAGGCGGCGCTGGGCTGTTGGGCGGGTTGGGCTGCGGCCCGCGCGCGCGGCGGGCGATGCTGGGGGGCAGCTCTGGGGCCCGGGAGCGCGAGGCGGAGGGCGACCCGGCTGGGGCTCTGCCTGCGCCGCCTGCCATCGACTTCCCGGCCGAGGGCTCGGACCCCAAATATGATGGTGAGGGACCCGGAGTGCCGCGGCGGCCCTCCCCTTTCCCCTGTCCGCCGTCATTCCCGGGGTGGGGGGGTCGGGCAGTAGCGAGGTTCGCCCCGGAGCTGGGCAGATTCCGGGCTTGAGCCAGGGGCCCAGCGGTGCAGTGCGGGAGGCGGCGGGCGGCCCGTTCGGGTCAGGTCAACTTTTATGAAGACGAGTGTCTGCATCGCGCTCGTTTGTTTACATTTCTGTTCTTTGGTTTCCTCTCTGCGGACTTCGGGCTTCCGAAGTGCTAAGACTTGCCCGGGCCGCTTTCCAGCTCCCAGGCCCTGTGGTTTTGTCAGGAGACGAGCATGAACTTTTTAAGCTACTAGAATGGGACTTTGCAGATCCTTCGCGCCTGACAGTTTGGGTTGAGTTTTGATTTGTAGCTTCTCTTGTCTTCTTCGATAGGGTAGCAAGACTGCTCATAGTGAGGCAGTATGGAAATCATCCTCTTCGGTTTAAAAAAAAATGCCCAGGTTTTTTCGAGGTTTTTGTTTACTGGAAGAAAATGCGTAGAGTCTGTCACGTTCTTCAACAACTTGCAGTGGGAGGTTCTTAAAACATTGACTCTAACCAGTTCAAAGTATCCAGTATTGAAAGTGTAATAGGCTCTTTAATTGCAGCCAGTTGTTTTGGCAGTTTTAAAAATTGCACTGTCAAAAATGATTCAGGGAGGTTTTTACTATAGGGTAGGTCGAATTGGACAATTACGGAGAATACTCATTCAGTCGAAGCATAAAACATTAAATCCATGTTGAAATAGATTTAAAAGCGCAAGCTGAGTTGAAAAGGTTTGATTTCTTAAATTCTTCGATCTTCGTCCTCAATACTACTAATAATTTTTGACCCTAAAGGAGACAAAAGATGGTAATATAACTAGGCCATTAACAAGAGATTTGCAAGGTAACAATTTTTTTAATGGAAAAACTGATTTTTTTTCCATACGTAAGGTGGCATATTTATTACAGTAGCTCTGTAATACATAAAGTGTTATGTCATGGGAAAAGTCCCAGCTATAAACACGCAAGCTTGTCTTTTCTGTAACATAGTGATAAGGTTTTCTGCAAACTGAAGATTATTCTTGAAGGGAGTGATCTTAGATTAGCTTCTAAAAATTTCCTTCGAGGTTACTAATAATACTCTTGTTTACATACTGCCTTTTCTTCCAAAGAGGTCCAGAGTGTCCAGACATAATTTATCTTTTTATGTGAAAAGTAAGGTCTGCGAAAAATGTAGTTTCATTTGTAGTAGATGTGAAAACAGAATAATACCTAAATGGGTTATCAAGGTCTTCTGTATGATGTGAGGTCACTCTGCCCGTTAATGACAAGAGTCAGAACATTCGAAACCTAAGTGTAACTATAAAACGTGTGTTTTGCAGTTTATTGTGTAGGGATTCTCCTAGAGCCAGTATCAGCCTTTGATCAAAGTCACTGTCTTTCCCCCTCTGTGGAATGGCGGTAGAAGGAAGGCCGACAGGGAGCCCGTTGTGGGACTCATTAATTTTTCTTTCACCTGACTCGAGTTTTCCTGAATTTTTACCGAAGATGAATCCTCCAGGTTCCTCTTTAATTTGATAATGGACCATTTGGATCATCTTTTCCTGAGGAGTCTGAATTATGAGATCCCTTTCCTGTTTGTCTGCTCCCCTCCTACTTGGCAGAAGTCTGGGACTCTAATTCACCTAGGATCTAGATCTCATTTCTTATTCTTACTCTTTTAAAAGAGGACTTGACGTCATCTTTCCTTTCAGCCACTTTCCTCTTCTGCTCTCGACCAGAGCTGGGAGATGGGAAGCTTTCAGCTTCATTTCCTCTCAGTTTTCCTCCTGCCTGCATGTGAGTGTTTGTCCGCTGGCCTATTAAAGTTGTCATTTTCTTGATCTACTGGGTTCATTTGACTGCACGGACCAGCCATTTTTTAAATTTTTTCTCATTAAAATGTAGAATTTTCTCATTGTAGAGAATAGGAAAGTATGAGTATAAAGAACTACTAGGAAGCCCTCCTAACCATACTCTCACCACTGTTAACTATTCAGTACATTTTTTAAAAATTCACATTCCAGGATATGTTGAAAATATAGAAAAAGAAAAATTTAAAAACCGTAATTTCATTACACAGATTATTTACATTTTGATGTAGCTGGAGACAATGCATTGGATGAATTTTGCACTTAAAACTATTTGTCAGAAGTATCATGAATGGATTAAAGATTTCTCTGTGATTTTGTCCAAATAAGATAGAAATGTAGAGAATCATTCACAAAAATTTAAAGAAGGGAAAAGAAGGGAGTGACTTGGACTCACATCCCAGAGAACTCTCGGCTAACAGTTTGGTGTATTCATTTGCAGATACTGAGAACTGCTGTATTCCAGGTAGATAGATGCCCGAGGTACTAATGATCAAGCAGCCAGCCATGTCCATTGTAATTTCATTTCTTTCGCAGATTCTGTCAGTATATCATGGAAAACAGGGAGTGGATAGTTTGTCAGTTTATTTCTTTCCATTCTTTTTGGGTGTAGATTTAAACAGCTATGAAATAAATATATGTAAAAATTGTGTTAATATGATAAACATTCGATGTTCTGCTTTCTAAGTTATTTATTATCATTTTCTTGTGATATATTAGCCTTTAAAATATTTTAAGACTATCACATTCTGTATTATCATTTATTTAGTTTTTGCTCTATTATTGGAAAATAGGTTTGTTTTCCTTTTTTTGGCCATTAGAAATTATAATGGGTTTGACATCATATATATAAATTTTCGTTAGTATCTGATTTCTTTAGAACAGATCCACAGAGTAGAATTTGATGGGTCAAAGAAATTTTTTTTAAAAAAGGTTTTGATACATTTTGCTAATATGATAACTAGAAAGGTTATATTGGTTTGTATGAAACTATCTTACCTCACCTTCATTAGTATTTTTTTTTTATAGCCTGCTGCTTTGACTTGCTAATGGACTATTTCTGGTTCTTCTTGTATACACTGTCGTTTTTAACAGCTGCATGGTATTCCGTTTTATGGATATAACTTATCTACTACTTTTTCAATATTCTAAACAGCGTCATATTGAACATCTTGTATGTATATGTGTTGTGCTTTATTTATTTATTTCCGTGGTATATATTTCCCAAAGTAGAAGTGCTGGGTCAGAGGTTTGCACGTTTTAAATTCTACAGTGTATTGCCAAAGGTTGCAAACACTTTTACCCGCTTGTGTTTGAAAATGTCTGTTTTTCTGTGCCCATAGCAATACCACATATTCCAGGCTCTAAGTAGTTACCAATCTGATGGCAATCTCTGTACCGTAGTTGTTTTTATATGTATGTCTTTCATTACTAGTTACGTTGAAGCTACTTGAATTTTAATTGTGCGTCATTTTTAACGGGTTGTGAGAGCTCTGTATAAATTTTATTACCTTTTTTTCTTGTCATATATAGTACAGATATGTGCTATATCTAAATTTGCAATTCATATTTTAACTTTAAGATGTCTTTATATAGAGAAGTTTTTACATGGTCACATTTTTTATTTTTCTTTCTCATTTTCTGACTATAAGTATTCATTCGAAATGCATAGCACATCTGCACACATGCAGGTCTTTTTTTAGCCACCTGCAGGTCAGAGAGGAAATTGCTGAATGAAGTCTGGATTTGAAAACTGGCTTTTCCAGGACCTTTAGTAGTTCTCAGAGGAGAGTGGAATAGAATATTTGAAATGAGGACAATTTTTAGCAAGTGTAGGATATGCGGCCCCTGTTTCTGCAAGGCATTTCTAACTGAGTTGGTCAACAGTTATTGAGAGTTTTTGAGGCGTCTCATCTTTCCTCAAATAGCCCCCCTTAGTAATTTCCACTTATTCACACCTTCATCCCCATTCCTAGTGTTTTAAATGCTGGCCAGTCCATGTCTGTCTTGATATCTCTGGGACCTCTTCTTTCTTCCATGTTTCTATGACATCCTTTACTAGCTCATCCTAACCTCTCCTGTTGACTGTTGCATGCCTCTTTCCAGGCTCCTTATTACATGTTTCCAGAACAGTTTACTGAGATATTTTCCCTTCATTGTGTTTTTGGCCTGTTCACTGTAGTAAATAAACAGAACTTACGACCTTCACCTGTAAGTTCCAACTCGTCTGTCTGGTTGGTCTTACGTAATGGAAAGAGGAAGATGGACTTGCGAGTCGCTCTGATCTGCCTGCTTACAAGTTCCCTACCCTCTGTGTGATCAGTGTCCTCATCTGTGCAGTGGGAATGGTAACACTGACCTCTCACTGTCTTGTGACGATTAAATGAGATTGTGTGTAAAAAGCACTTGGTACATACATAGCATGTGCTCAGAGCCAGGTTTCCGCCCATCTTGCCTCCCCCAGCCAGGCTTCTTTCTGGGTCTAGGCTGTCCTCTCGGCGGAAGGAAGCCTTCCTGTTCCTGCCTGTTTGCCTGACTATTCATTCATTCATTCATTTATTTCTACCTTCGCCTACATCACTGCTACCCAGACTTTCTCCCTTCCTCCAATGGCATCTTTCTGCTAGTCTTCCAACCTCCAGAATTCATCTCAAAACTAGATTCTAGAAAGTCTGTCTTGATTAACCCCACTCAGCTTAACTGTTATTTTTTTTATTTCTTTAAATTTAAAGAATTTGTTTCATTAATTAGAATGGGCTGTTTCATCATTATGAAATATGTTTACCATTTATTACAATTTTTTCTTTTTTTAATTTTTTAGAATCCGATGTTCCAGCAGAACTGCAGGTGTTGCAAGGACCCCAGCAACAGCCGAGTTTCCCTTTTGCAGTTGCCAACCAGCTATTGCTTGTTTCTTTGCTGGAACACTTGAGCCACGTGCATGAACCAAACGCACTTCGTTCAAGACAGGTGTTTAAATGTTAGTAAGAATAAATTAATCTTGCTGAATAAAACTTGTAAAAATACTATGTTATTTAATGCGATGGATCTGGGAAGCAGCAGGTTTATAAAAATTTGAAATAAGTGTTAATAGTTTATATTTCTTTTTCTTTCTTTTTTTTTTTTTTTATACCTATAGCGCCTGGTATTCCTAGGGAGTTTCCTAGTTTATATTTCTTAAATTCATTTTATGTTTTGCTTTGAGTAACTCCTTATGAATATAATTATGGGGCGTCAAAAGATTAATAACCATAAAATTGTGCATATTTAAGTAAATAAAAGATAGTTCATTTGTATCTATAACTTGATAATTCATGTGATTGATGAAGATCCGTTCTGCTTTAGTCGGTTAGGAGGTAAATGGAGGTTGCAGATGTTCAGTCTGAACCAGTCCTTGACCAGCGGACACTGGAACAGCAGCATTTTGTGTTGTCAAATAGGAAACTTTTTCTCTACACACCAAGTACCTTTAACCCAAACGTGGGTTTTTTTCCTGCACTGACCAGTTCTTCGTTACTAGCTGGGTGTCCTACAATTTGGTTCAATTCTGACGCTGTCTGCGTGGAGCCAGTGTCGGATCCCACAGCGTAAGGGCTCGGTCACACGAGACAGCCCTTGTTTCAGATGCCAGTTGCAAGTGCTAGGTCCCTGGGGGTCCTCAGGTTACCCACACTTGTGTCCGACTTGGATATAAGTTGTGATATCCTCTATCCCCTCTTCCCTCAGGTTTGAAAACTTGCTTTAATGGCTTAGGGGACTCAGGGAGACCTTATGCTTACAGGTTTACTATGTAATAAAGGATATGTAACGGATACAACGAACAGCCCTGTGAAGAGACTCATAGGGTCAGGTCTGGTAGGGCCCAGAGTGCAGGAGCTTCTGTCCCCGTGGAGTCGGGGTGTGTCACCGTCCTGGCACGTCAGTATGTCTACCCAGAAGCTTTCTGAACCCTGCATTTTAGGGATTTTTATGAAGGCTTCATCATATTGGTACGATCAATTACAAACTCAATCTCCAGCCCTTTCCCTCCCCAGAGAATGGAGGTGGAGCTGAAAGTTCCAAGCTTCTCATCACTGGCTTGGTCTTTCTGGTGACAAGCCTCCATCTTGAAGCTCTCTAGGGGACCTCAGCCACCTCATTAGCATCCGAATAGATACTCATCACTCTGGAGATTCCTGGGGTCTTAGGAATTTAGAAATGATGCGCCAAGCAGCTCTAGCACTTAGGAATTATAGGAGTTTTAGGAGCTGTGTGCCAAGAACTAGAGACAGAGACCAAATCTATTATTATACCACAGTTGTTGAAAATTTCTATTTTTATTCCTGCCATAATTATTTGTATGAGAAACTTGAGCACAGAAGTGAGCAGAATTATAGACTGGTGTTTCTGGTTCATCTCACTGACTGAGACCATCGTGCCTTCTTTAATAGCTCCAACCACAGGTTCTAAGGATCTTGTTCTACCAAAAAAGTCTTTCTAAGTCTTGTTCGGTGTTAGAAATCCTCAAACCTATAGATTTCCTTAATGTGATCTTGGAATGTAATGCTTTTACTTTAAGGTGGATTATCATTTTGATGAGCTTGATGGGACATGAAAAATTGTGAATATTATTTGTACAGTGTACACTTATTATTTTCTGAATATGTGGTGGGGAGGTGGGTTATACGTGTTCTGTAGGTTCTGAAGTATTGGTAGCTAGTCATTATTGTATCAGACTCAGTATAGAAAAGCAGATGATAATGATTTTAATATAATCTCACTCCTAATTAAAGTAATCTAGACATGCTGCTGATTTTAAGATATTTTTGAATTTCTTAAGTGACTGAACTTTTAAAGTTTCTTTAAGTGTTTTTGATGTGATTCAGTGAGATGATAATTTAAATGCAGAGTTTTCTTATAGAAAAATATCCTTATGGATCTGTATTCCTTGAATGAGTAGAAGCCAAGCACTTCTGTAGAAACTCCTTTTATTGAGGAGCCCGCTGGTGTGACTTCAGACTTCATTTTCCCCCAGTATTTGGTCTGTACACACATCGCACACACGCTTGTACTATGTTGGTGAAAGATATCCATAATAGAAAACAACAATTAACATTCACTTCGTCGTCCGTTCTGATCATTTGTTTCCACTCTGCTTTTGTTATCGCAGCGCCTGCCAGCAAAGTGTGATGTGTTCGAATGCGGGAAGACCACTCTGTTTACATTTTTCCCTGCCTTTTTCAAAGATGGCGCTTAGTCCTTTACTGACTGAGCAGTCACGGTAAACCAATGACCGTTCAGTGGCAGAGAAATAATTATAGATAGACTCCTGATCAATGAGTGTACCAGCTGTCGCTGCGCCAGTAGAGGATTAATCCTCAAGTTGTAATGTGTGTGTACATGTAACCTTTTTCTTATAGCGGCTGTTATTACTCTTTATGTACAGGGTACTCTTTAAAATTGCTCTTTTATTGTCGCCTTTCTAAGAATAGTTTTCCATATTTTTTTTTTAGTACTCTGTCAGACCTTTATCAAAATGGGGCTGCTGTCTTCTTTCACCTGTAGCGATGAGTTTAGCTCATTGAGACTGCATCACAACAGAGCCATTACTCATTTAATGAGGTCAGCCAAAGAAAGAGTTCGTCAGGTAAGCACGAAGTACGGACTTTGTATGTGACAGAAACATTTTGATTTCAAGAGGACTGTTTTCTAAAGTGTCATGAAGTCCTGATTATAATACAGGTTTATAAAAATGTTAACTTTAGTTCATTTATTCAGCACATATTTATTGAATGACTATTATGTGTTAGGCTCTCGCGTAGGTTCTAGGATTCAAGCAGTAAACAAAATAGAATATCTGCCCTCTTAGAGCTTCTGTTCTGAAGAGCAAACAGAAAAAGAAAAATCTGTAAAAATAAATGGGGTTTTAGATTGTGATAAGTGGTAAGGAGAAGCATCCGGAAGCGAAGGGGCTTAGAAAACATGAATGTTGAGTAGGATGGCGACGGAAGGCCTGAGGCTGAAGTAGAGAGAACGGGCCATGCGGATACCGGAGGGAGAGCACTCCAGGTGAGGGCACAGTCACGCCCCAGGTAGCAGTGCACTTGGCATGTGGGGAGCTGGAGTCGAGGAGGCAAGGGGAGCGTGGGGGAGAGGTGGGGCAGCAGGGCAGCGAGAAGGTCGGATGGACTTCAATCTTGAGACCATTTTAATGTCTGTGGTTTTCACTCAATAAAATGGGAAGCACTGAAGGATTTTGAGCAGAGGAGTGACATAATCTGGCACATCTTAATGGAACCACACCAGCTACTGTGTTGAGAATAGACTGACGACGGGGGCAGGGGCAGGGGCAGGGGCAGGGAGACAGGTGCAACCATGCAGGCGAGAAGAGATGGTGGTAGCAGTGGAGGTGGGAGAAGTGGTCAGTTTCTGCATATATTGTGAAGGTAAAATAAACATTATTTGCTGCTGGAGCATCTTGGCACATTCTCAGCTTTGTCAGTGGATAACTGGGCTACGTAACGTTTTTAGTAGTGATCTTTTGGTTAAGAGAAATATTTTCAATGGTAAACGCTTAGGTAATATTGAAAAAACTGTCGAGTCTTTGTTTTCAGTGTTGATTAAGCATTTGGGACTATTAATATGACATTGAATTTTGATAGATTCCTTATTCCATGAAATTCTCAAAATGCTTTTAAAAATAATTTTGATTTTAGGATCCTTGTGAGGATAATTCTCATATTCAGAAGATCAGGTATGTATCAAATACTTCTGTGATTATGTAAAGATTAAACTATCCAAAAGAAGTCAGGATTAAGAATCCTGAGTTAATCAGAAATTTGTTTGGGGTTAAAAAATAATGTAGTTAGGCTAGTTTATGAAAATTAAGAACTTTGTTCTCAGCAGTTAATTACTGTTCCAAGATTCGCTTTACTTCTCATTTCCCTTCTTTTGATCCCATTTCCCCCATTTACAGTGGATTTCATAAGCCCCACCCTTAATTCACGTATTGATACCCAGTCTCTGTCAAGGGAAAACCATTGAATTTCAGCTATATTTAAGAAATGCTGGGGGCGGGGCGAAGTATATAAAAAAAAAAAAGAAAAAGCTAATTTAAAATCTGTAACTTGTCAGATCATTAAGAAATTTGAGTACCTTTATTACTGAGCTCCAGTAATTAGCTTCTCTGCCTGTTAGTCATCAAAAACTAATTACTGGTAAAATACTTAAAATTAGGTGAACAATCCCCTCGCTAATATTTATTACACTGTCGATTTGCTTAGCAAATGTTTTCTTCACAGAGAATGAAAAATTTTATTTTAGCTCATCCTTTTCAAATTAGCACAATTTAGTGATAAAGGCGCTTTGGTTATGAGTAGTGCAGTGAACCCGGAACGTGTCGATGCTCTCATGTTTTTACATCGACTGATTGTATTTTACTTTCAGATCAAGGGAAGCCGCCTTCGAAGCACAGACTTCACGTTACTTAAATGAATTTGAAGAGCTTGCCATCTTAGGGAAAGGGGGATACGGAAGAGTATACAAGGTTGTTTTCTGCATTCTTTTTGACTCGCTACGCTAAATAAATGTATTTTGAAGAGTTGTTTTCATTATCGTTATTTAAAATGGTCGAAGGAAAATTTCTAGAAATCATGTATGTTTACTTTTTATTAAGATTTGTCATTTACGGGGAAGTGGGCAGGTTTTATTTTTTTCCTAATCATGGTTTAGGTGGATTCTAGAAACTTTGAGGGTTTGTTCTGTATTTTATTAAAAATGCATTGCTGGAAGGTTGTGCTACTGTGTTATGGGCCTTACAGAGGCCTGTACAACCACCGCCGACTTTCCTGGGCATAGAAAAGGCGACACATGTCTTTAATTTTATCTCTTTGAATAGTTTGGATTATCTAAGCTCAGGTGAAAAGAACTTTCTTATTCCTTTGGACTTTAATGGCTCAATATACTCTGTCTTTTCCTCCACTTTTTAGGTCAGGAATAAATTAGATGGTCAGTATTATGCAATTAAAAAAATCCTGATTAAGGGAGCAACTAAGACAGATTGCATGAAGGTATGGTTTTCAAAATTTATTTACTTTGAATAATCGAGTAGATTTTTCACAAGAGGTGTGTGTATGGGTGTGTATTTGGCAAATACTAGGCATTATGGAGTTCCAGTTTACTCAGAATGGGTTATAGTAAAATAAACATCAAAACTAAATTTTTGAGTTAATTTTTTATAGGCATTTCAGATTGACCACATTTCAGGGTCATTGCTGGGGAAATTGATTTTTTAAGTAAATTATTCATGTACCGTACAGCCTGTTAAGAAAAAGCATGAGCTCAGTTCAGGTCCCGGTCTTCTCCCTGACATGCTGTGTGGTCCTGGGTAAATGACCTAGTCCTCTAAGCCACTTCTGTCTCCCGCCCTTGAAATAGTGGTGACAACCATGTTTTTATACACACTGCAGACTGGACTGACTTACAGGAGAATGGTTATAAATGAACTGTGCAAAATATAAAGTGCTATCTACTTCTAAGTTTTGTTGCTGTAACAATTGCATTTGTCTCACAAAAATATTCCCATTATTTTAACGCAGTTTCGATGGCTTGTACAGAGGGGTTTCTACTGTTTTGCTCTGGAACAAGTCGTATTTGATACCATGAACACTTAACAAATTGCCAGTAAAAGCCGGATCTAAGTATGGTTCCTCCACAGGTCCTTCGTGAAGTGAAGGTGCTGGCGGGTCTGCAGCATCCCAACATCGTGGGCTATCACACCGCTTGGATAGAGCACGTTCACGTGGCCCGGCCACAAGGTGAGCGGAAAGCTCGGGGTGATGGAACTGAAGGTTTGGCCGACTTTGGCCCATGGGCCAAATGGGGCCTTCCACTGGTTTTGCGTATCCTATAAGCTGAGAATTTTTTTTTTTTTACATTTTTGAATAGTTAAAAGGAATCAAAAGGAAGAATATTTTGTGAAAATTTTATGAAATTTAGCATTTCAGTTTCAACGAGTAGTTTATGAGAACACAGGCTCATTCATACGTGTGGTCCGTAGCTGTTGTTACAACAGCAGAGTCCCACAGGGCCTGCACAGAGAGTTTGCTGACACCCCAGAGTGCCACTGCTCTGCTTTATGGTTTCTAAAACGTCCCAGCCATTTGACTAAGTTTGTTGTGTTTGGCTAGAAGGTCATGACATTTTTAGACTTATCTCATTTGGTATTATTTGTATATTTTAGCTCTGGCTTTGACTGTGCATTAGAAAAATCGAGCTGCTTGATGATTTGTTTTTGTTTTTGTTCCAACAGATAGAATTTCTATTCAGTTGCCATCTCTGAAAGTGATCTCCACCCAGGAGGACGACAGGTATGTGGACTGGTATGGACTTTACAGGGTAGACAGAACCTACTGTCAAACCTGCATTAGGAGCCCAGGAGCGTTTTAGACTTCCTTTTGCTTATTTTCATTACAAAATGTTTATTCTCCTCAGATATTTCCGGCCAGTATTTTAAATAAATGTGGCTACTAGACAGATTTGATGCCATTTTTTCTTTTAGAAGTTTACCAGTAAGACTCAAAGACTTAAGGAACAATCGAGTAAATTTTTTTGACATTGATTTTTATCTTTATTGTTTTTTTCTCCAGAGATCAACATGATGTTAAACATGAAGAAAGTAACAGCTCATCCATTATCTTTGCTGAGTTCACCTCAGAAAAAGAAAAATCCTTAGCAGAACCTGGCCCTGAAAATGAGAATAACAGATTGGTGAACTATACCACCAGTTTAGTCACAGGAGATGCCGATGAATTTGAGACATCCATTGAGCCCCAAGGAAACGACTTGGCTGGTTTGTCATCCAGTTCGATTGTTGAGAATCAGCTGCCAGTTAGGCTTAATTCAGACTTAGAAGAGAACTCCACTGAGGAATCTTCCGAAGAAAACTTAAACTGGTTGGGGCAGACAGAGGTAGATGGCTTTCTCAGAACCTACCGATTTAATGTTTACCCATAATCATTGATCAGATATGGCCTTCTCAGCTGACCCCTCCCTGGACTCCTCCCTCTTTCTGCCCTAGCTCTCCTGCTCTGTGTCCAGGCTCTTGTCTCCGTGTTCTCCCTTGACAAACGGCCTTTGTCTTCCGTCCTTCGTGTCATTAACTCCTGCTCATCCTTTTTTGACTGGGTCTTCTCGTCCCTTGGATATTCTCACACACGTCCCCTGGAGTTGAAATCGTCATGCACCTTCTGTTTTTGTTGTATAGGTAGAGTTGTGCTATAAAAATATATTTATGCAGAGTTTCCACATTTTGGAACATGGCTTTAGTGAGAGTCCGAGTAGGATTACCAGGTCAGTTTTTGGGGTACTCTTATGGAGGGTTAGGCTAACACGCTGGTGAGACTCCCACGTACCCTCAGCAGCGTTGAGTATCGTTAAGAAAACTTGAACATGAACAGCGTCTGCACGTGACCTGTCACGGTGGATTACAGAACTGTGTGTGTACACGCAGAATTAGTTCTCGTTACCAGGAATGTGTGGCTCTGTGTGGATTTTTTTTTTGAAACAAAACCTTGAACAGGTCCACCTGAATACAGACGCGTTCAGTTTGGGAGACTTTTAACCGGAATAGTTTTATTTCTCTTTAATACATTCAGAAAATTGTCCTGGATGCCTAATGAATGGGCCACAGTGAGCTTAATTTTTGTTTTTCTTTTCCATGAACAAGTTATTACATACAATGTGAAGCCAACCAAAGTGTGTGTATACTTAGGGGTATCCACAGAGACGCAGAATCCCATGTAGCCATTTTTTGATGCTTGACCTTAGCTTCGAAAACTTTATGTAGTGAGCAGACCAAACAGTTTCAGGCCCATCTCAGAGCGTCTGCCCTTTGACGCTGGTCTCATGCCAGTGGTCCTGCTGCTACCCACTCGGATTATGACACAGCGTTTCAAGTACTGCGTTACTTGCCCATCTCCATCATTGGACTTTGGGTGTCTTGGGCAGGCCTGTGTCTCTTGTCTCTGTTCTCATTACTTAGGCCAATGCTTGGCTTAGAGTAGGCAAGTGTTTGTTGACCAAATGGATAATGTGAGCAAATTGTGCGCAGATGAGAGCCGGTGTGGTGTCGCCCCCTAGGTGCAGTACCACCTGATGCTGCACATCCAGATGCAGCTGTGTGAGCTCTCGCTGTGGGACTGGATTGTGGAGAGAAACAGGCGGAGCCGGGAGTGTGTGGATGAATCAGCATGTAAGTGCCACGTGGGTCTGTAAGTACTGGCCTGGGAAATACACTGTAGGACCTGCATCCTTCTGCCTCCACGTGCTTTAGTTCGGGGGGAAAGAATTGCTTTTTTAAACCAAAGAGACAGTTATGCTCATTTCAACATTTTTCAAAAACAAATAGGTATATGGAAATTTTCTCTGATAGATACGTAATTTGTTGATATTTAAACAGTCATGCTAGAATTTAGATGAATAATTTGGGGTGGAAACGGTCTTTAAAAATTTTTTTAAAGAAGAAATTTAAATACTTGTTTTATTTTTTTAACCTGAAAATATGGTACTCCTACCAAAAAAAAAAATCTTTAAAGAAACCCTTGTAGAAAGGTATGCACTCAAAAGTTTGTCTCATCAGGGTCCGAATTCCTTCCTCTTCCTGAAGTTGTATATCCTCTAGAAATATTGTTAGGTTAATATTTTTAAAATATGGTTCTCAACTTGGGCTGCATATTTGAATCACTTGAGGAACTTTTAAAAAGATGTCAATAAAGAAGATGGTGGAGAAACCTGACAAACACCTCAGCTAGTGATCAAGGTCAACATCAACAGTGAAACTCAAGTCGCTAGCGTGTGCCCTTGATGAGGCGTGGAGAAAGCACCTCTGTAGTCTTCCTTCTCAAAACCCATAGCCCCAGTCTAATCATGAGGAAAACAGACAAATCCCAGTCGAGGGACAGTCTTCAAAATACCTGACCAGTACTTCTCACAACTGTCAAGGTCATCATAAGCAGGAAAAGTCTGAGAAACACTCACAGACCAGAGGAGCCTCAAGAGACATGGCAACTAAATGTAATATGGTGTCCTGGACAGAATCCTGGAACAGAAAAAGGGCATTAGGTAAAAACTATGGAAATCTTAACTGAGGACTTATATCAATATTCGTGCTTTCGTTGTGACAGCTGTACCATATTGATGAAGGTATTAGGAGCAGGGGTAACTGGGTGTGCGCTAAGTGGGGACTCTACTGTCTTCTGATTTTTCGGTAAACCTAAAATTGTTCTAAAAATTAAAATTTAATTTTTAAAAGGTTATCGTCTGGGACCACACCACTGATTCTTATATAATTGGTCTTGGAGAGGGTTGGCCTTTGGTTTTTTTTGAAAGTTCTCTTGTAGATTCTAATGTGTGGCCAAAGTCGGAATTCACTGAATTCGATTATCAAAATAGAGGATATGAGTGACCTGATTTTAAGTAGATTCAGTGAAATACAGATCATGACTCATTTGCTGTTCACTCGTGATGATGCTGTAACCCTTTATTTGGTCTAAAATATAGGTCCGTTAATCTCAAAGTCTCAGGTTAGCTTCCATTGGAGATAGAAACATGGCGTCTCCCTCCAGCAGCTCCTCGACACCCCTGTGCTTCTGGTTACCGCATGACTAGGATGTGTCAGGCTGCTCAGTTCACTCGTGGCAGGTCGGGGGGTTCTTCAGCGCCCTGTGAGGTGGTCTCCTACTGCGTGAGCCCTGCTCTGCCAGTGTCTGAAAAGGAGAATGGTCTAAGTTGTGTGTGTGGTTGTCCTGTAACCCGCGTGGGAGAGGAGGCCCTCATGGCATGGGTTGGAAACCCTGTACCATCCACACAGACAGCCTGTCGGAGCAGTGAGGGCAGGATGTGTATGATGCTACTGCTAGCACGATGTTTATTTGTCTTCACAAAACGTTTTAAAACGTTTTAACTTTGTCGTATTCCAGCACGGTGCAGTGCAGATAGCCTTATGTCACTTGTATTTTACGTTAATCATTCTGCTAGTCCCGTGAGTGGTGGACCTGGATTTGGACGCGGCTCTAATATTCATTCGCCAGGTGTAAGGTTAGGGGCGAGCCAGTGACCGCCCTCAGTCCGTTTCCTCACCTGTGATACGTGGGTCATCCCTGTTTTAAGGGGATTAAAGCAGTGAGGCTAAAGGCTGTGGCACCGAGTGAAGGCAAACTGGTGTCGTGTGTGGTTACTGGCTCTAGGTTGCCAGCCGTTTGGATGTGTGGCGTGGGTTAGGTGGGAACTGTATGAGAGACGAAGGAAGATGGCCATTCTCAATAGCTGGGGAGTTCGAAAGCCTGCCTTGCGTTTCTCCATAGGAGGGAGGTTGGTCCCTTCGGCGTGAGGGCAGCTGTAGCAGACATACTTGTGTGGAACCATTGCTTTTACACACACACACACACACTTTTCTGTCTCTCAGGTGCTTGAGGTCCCTAAGTTACATGCTAGCTGGTGTGAGGACAGTGTGGAGCAGGTTCGAGCTGCAGAGCCACGTGGGCTCCTTCAGGGAGAAGGAGGGGGCAGGTAGCGTTCTTGCGCTTGAAGGTCAGCAATAGGTTTATGATTTAAAATGACAGAGGAGTCAGTATGTTTCTACTTTATTACTAAACTTATTTGGCTGGAAAAACTCCAGGATTTTTTTTTTTTATCAAATTTTGTTTTTGGTCCTATAAAACCGCCACCTTCTTAAGTTCACATGTTACGTTACCATATTAACATATAAATTAATTCATTTTTTTCCCTATATACTTCTTCTGCTAGTCACTTTTGGAAAATGTGCATTTCAGATAATGAAGCTCACCCCTTGGGCTCACATAATTTATCTTCTTATTCCATTATTTGTAATAATGTCCTCAATCCACAGTGGGCCAGGATTCCAGATTTATTAGCATTAAACCCCAGGATGTCAGAGGTTGAAAAGAACTTAAACATAATTTAATCTAGCCACCTGATGCCTGAGAACTGTTTACAAAGTAGTGAATATGGGGGAGCCATGTGAAATGAGAGGTCCTCTCTCTGGTGACAATGTCCATTGACTGTTGGGCACCAGTTTGTGATGGCTCGCTTGCTGGCTGGGAGCCCTCCCTGCTCCCCAGTTTCTAGGTTTCAACCATTTGGAGCATTGAGTCCGTTGAAAATCTGAATGTTGTGTAGATATCAGATGTTAATGTGTTTGGAATTATATTGAACATATTTAGATGTTAACATAATCAGTAAAAAAAAAAAAAAATTAGAGAAATAAAACTTTTTTTTTTTCACTCCAGGTCCCTATGTTATGGCCAGTGTTGCAACAAAAATTTTTCAAGAATTGGTGGAAGGTGTATTTTACATACATAACATGGGAATAGTACACAGAGATTTGAAGGTAAGTGGGAGAGATGAAATCATTGAAAGATTCTTATCAGGGATGACTTGGTGTCGGTTCTTTGAATTAAATGGGATCCTGTGTCATCATTCATTTACTTAGAAAGATGTGATTACTTTCATAAAAATCACTGTATGTAGATCCAGAACATGAAAACTTTAGATTGAATTTAAAAACAGTAATCTTTGGACATTTGAAAATTCTCGCTGTTTTCAGATAGTAAGTGTCTGTTAGTACTACTATAATTGATGATGCTAAATGTATTTAATGCTGACAGAATACTCATCTATTATTTCAGCCTTAGAGGTACAATCTGTTTCTATAATTATCCGTCTTAAAGGAAATTTAATATGGGAATTTTTTTTTTTTTCTGTCTTAAAAATCTATAATGACTATTCCAATTTTTATCCACAAAAGACACTCTCAAGAGAAAGAGAAAATATATTTGCTTCTTTGGCTGAGAGTTTTAAATTAACATGCTTCCATTTTAGACAAAAATTAAATCATGGTAAATGCATTTAAAAGAATATTTAGGAACGAAAAGCGAATATGCAAATCATTTTACTTTTTAAAAAAGGTTTAAGGACCAGTAGTTTGTACACTGGAGAGAAATAAGGCGATGGGTTAAGTATTTTCTGGGTACACGTCTAGCCAGAACATGCGATTGAAGTTACCGAAATTCTTGGGCACTGTGAAAATTTGAGGTCTCATTTCAAGAGGCAAGCTAAGTCATGACAACCGTACACGGAGTTCCACATCTTCACCGGGAGAAGGCGTTTCACGTGTTGTTTGTATCTCTCACCGTAAATATTTCTGATGCTTCTTTTACAGATATCTTCTAGGGATAAGGGTTTTTGGGATAACTTGATTAGGGTCTCCCTTAAGAGGTGGAATTCTGGTAGCATGATTCCTGCCGGGAGAATTCCTTGGTGATTGGTCAGCCTCAGCGGGTAGGAGCGGTAGAGGAGCTTGGCGAGGAGGGCCGTGTCTCTTATATTGGAGCTGCGCTGAAGGTACATGTACATCGGAGACTCCCCGTTTCTCGTTAAGATATTAACATTTGCTTCAAATTCAAGCAAGAGGTGGATTATCGCCTCTCTGCCTCCGAAACACGCCTCGTGGATGGCTGTTTGGCCCTCATGGTCCTGGGCGTTTACTTTGGCCCCGTGGGTCAGCAGCAGCCGGATGCAGCCCAGCCCTGCCGCCAGCAGGCGGCCCGCTTTGCTCGACGCAGTACACACCGCCAGCTTAAGGGCCGTGTTCCCAGTCGACGAAACGATGCAGTTGACGTTTGCGCCACAGGCAATGAGTGTTTCTATCATCTCCTTATTCAGTATATCTGCAGCCATGTGGAGGGGTGTCATGCTGGATTCATTGATAGCGTTGACATGGGCACCGTTTTGAGCTAAAATGGAGAGAACTGGGTAGGTCCCATACGTGATGGCCAGGTGGAGGGGCGAATGCTTGTTGCTGTTGTCCACGCGAGCATTCACTTGAGCCCCGTGCTCACACAGAACACGGAGACACGCCGTGGCGTTGTCCTGAATATCTGTCAGGAGCCTTTGGATTCTGTTGCCCGGCTTCGTCCACGTGGTAGAAGTGATCGGCCAGTGCAGCAGCATCAGGTGCAGGGTAGTGAGGCCCCTCGTGTCCCTGGAAAGGCAGCGGTCACGGTTACATTCAGCTCGCAATGGTAAGGGCTCTACGCAAAGAGTTACTGCTTAAGAAAGCAACATGTATTTCAGTTTAAAGTCATCCCCCTTAATTACTGTAAAGAAGTGTTTGCAAATCTGCACTGCTGTTTAAATTCTCAGGATATCCCAGCGTTTTGGGCAGACAAGGTGGTCTGCATCACAGCATGGAGGGGCCTACCTTTCTCTAGCAACTCGTTTCTACTTTGTCACTCCTGCTAGGTCTGTGGCTTCTTCAGGGCTGCGTTGAGCCACTCACGCAGGGCTCAGCTGAGTTAGCCATTCAGTAAAATTGTGTGGACTTGAGTGCGATCTGGTGTTCGCACAGAAGTGAGCCTCGAAGGGCCAGAAGGCCTCCCGACTCAGTCAGTGGCTCGCATCTGCTCCTCTACCTGACACGTGTGTTCACTCATGTGTGGGGGCAGAACAGAGGGCAGGGTTGAGGCTGGAGACCCGCAGTCACCTTGCAGTGAGGGAAGCAAGTTTCTCTTCCTTCCCACTCTGTCTCACAGCTTGGTCCTCATCTACTTACTCCTTTCCTGAAATCTCAGGTGCGCCTCCAAAATTCCTTTCTTTTGACAGAGAAAGGGGGAAGATTGATTATAAACACTGCTCCACAGAAATCAAACTTGGTGAGGCCCGTGCTAGGGCTGTGCCAAAATAGCAAGAAGCCCGTGCCTCAGCAGGCCTTGCGGTCTGGTGTGGCAGGCATGAAACAAACAACTAGGTGACTCGCAGATGGGCAGAGTTCTAGAAAGTCTGACCCAGGGACGGCCCGTGGCTTGAGGTAGGAAGGAGTGTGCTGGGGAACCCTGAGGAGGATGGGCGAGTTCGTGACGATGGTCCAGTCCCGGAAAGGTTGCGAGAGGACCTGCCAAGCTGGCGGATGGGTGCGTGCGTGTGCGCGGGCTGTGTGCGTGTGCGGTGTGTGTGCATGTGCGGGGAGAGGCGAGAGCAAGGCCAGGTCAGGTGGGCTCTTCTGGAGAGTGGCAAAGATTTGGGGCTTAACTTTCTTTTAACGTTGGGGTGCAAGAGGTTATAATTTTTATACCGTGTGATTCTTCCATTCATTCAGATAGTGCTGAGCACGTACGAACGTCAGGCATTGGTTTAGGTGGTGAGGGTACATTGGTGCGCAAGAGAAACCTCTTCCATGAAGCATACCTTCTAGTGGAGGGTGGTAATAAAAATCTGTTGCCTGTTTTAGTTTTCATTTCTAACGTAGGTTTTTACGCTCCCTGAGTGCTGTGAGCAGGACTTAATGGATCTTCCATAACAGCATTGCTGAGCGCTTAACTAAATTCAGGATGCCATAAGTGGTGTGACTGATTTGTGTTCTTGCATTTTTCCCTCTTTTCAGAGTATCTTATTTAGTCAGTAAAGAAATTGGTTCATTCAAAACATGATGATTTGTAGTCCACAACCCGTGAAGAGCGGACAAGTCCAGGCATTACTGGGAAAAGTAACATCTGACTCATGGATATCCCCATTTAGAAGCGGTCGCCTGTTGAGTTAGCTTACCTGATTTCTGGGTCAGCGCCGTGTTCTAACAAACAGTGCAGACTTTGTGGCTTGTGGTATTCGGCAGCCAGGTGAATGGGGATGATGGACTGCGTCTGCTTGGAGGGAAAAAACCCGAGGTCGTCATAAGTAGCCTCATGCAGTTAGACGTAATAGTTGTGTTCACTTGCCATTTCAAAGGAAATAAGTGGATTTAGTATCTCGGTTCAGTATTTTTCTGGTATGTGCATTGAAAAATCTTTTCTTTTGCCTGTTTTAAATGACCTCAAACCAGTGAATTTTATATGATGAAATCTGTGTGTTATGTAAATGCAAATTTACCAAGGCCAAGAAATAACTTATACTTTTGAAAGTTGATCCTTGTCAAGAGCTCATAGTGTAAAATTAATGGTAATTGCTGTTAAGCCACTTAGTCCTTAAGTTAACCCACAGAGTGATTGTCAAGTAGGCTTTGTGCTTTTTTAAGATTTTGTAAAAGTCATAGTATCAGTAGTAAAACCTACACGTTGAGAGTTTTGGAGATGACGCAGCAAATGTTCTGTGTGATTAGCAGAGCTGTTTATGCCAGTTCTTCAAAAACTAAGCAGTGGCTCTTGTGGCATTACAGCAAGATAAGGGAAGGGGGCGGGGCAAAGAAGAGGGTGACTTTTTGAAAAAAAAAAGTACTTATAAAGGTAATGATCACTGTATAAACATTTAGATAAAGGAAAAGTATATGTAGAAGGGAGAAACTAATGCCGTCACGGGGATGTGTGGTCATGGTGGGGATTTCTGTGATGCTGACGTCAGTGTTCCTCCAACTGCACGTGCTCTCGTCTTTTCTCTCGTGACTTTGAGTGCCAACCGGAAGGGAACCCTGCTCTGGATTGCGGTGTGCCTGAGATGTACTGCCCAGCCTTGAGCACAGCAGGGGCAGCGAGGCGGTGTAATGAGTTCACAGGAACCAGGGGTGTGTGCCTGCTGAAGTACCACGTGACTCTTTTCTAAAAGCCAAGAGAGTACCTGGTTCAGAAGTAATCTGCAGTTGGTAGGGCTGGCGGGGACGGTCACGGGCTGGTTGACGGGGTGGCTTCGGAGCAGTGCCTGGATGACGGCGCAGTCCTCTCTCATGATGGCGTCGTAGAGCTTAGTGTGGAGTGCCACATGTGGGCCTTCTTCCAACAACTTGCCACCGTCAGCGACCAGCTCCCTGGAGCCTCTCTCGGTTACGTTTCCCATGAGGAAACCCTAAGAGCGAGGACCGAAGCCGCCAGGGGAACTCGTGATGGAACTGGTCGGTTTCAGTCTGTTGATGATTCCTTTGGTTCAGTTCTAGAACTATTCTAGAATTGTTGAGGATTGTGTCGGTGAACATGCTTCATTTTTGCATTAGAGCCGAACTTTTTCTAACTTTGTGATGCCAAATACAAGCACAGTTTTTAGGACTTTTCTACTCAATCGCAAAAACATATCCAAATTGTCCTTTTACACATAAGATTCTTCCTGTTTTCTTTATCTATTCAGCTATAGATCAAAAGAATAACAAAGCTCAAACAGAGGAGTTTGTACATTAAAACAAAAAAACATTAAAAAATTACATTTAAAGTAAGTAAACCCAACTTTTAACCTAAATATTTTTTAGATTTTAGTGGGACACCGCACCCCCCCCCCGCCCCACACACACAGTGTAGGCGTAGTTATTCACTGACTCAGGAATAGTTCCACTGGGGGTCGTTTTGAGCTGTGGTGGTTGCTTAAATGGAGTAAGTGTGCACCCTCATCATGCGACTAGTCATTCCCAGCCTGGCTAATGTATAAGAATCATCTGGGAGCTTAAAAAATGAAGTATTTTTTCATTTAAAAAAAATCAAAGTCTTTGACTTGTTGGTGAAGACAGTGGTTTTTATTTTTTTTTTATTTTATTTTTAGGCGAGGCAACCTTTGATTGACATCACAGATTGCAAGGATCTTGTCAGCTTACAATCCCTTATTTATTTTTTTATTTTTTTTTACACCTGCAGCACCTGGTCTTTCTAGGTAGTCTCCCATCCAAGTACTAACCAGGCCCGACCCTGCTTAGCTTCCGAGATCAGCCTTAGCTTCCGAGATCAGCCAGAATTGGGCACGTTTAGAGTGGCATGGCCGTAGACGAGACAGTGGTTTTAAAAGCTGCGCTGGAATCCGGTGTCCAGTAACAGTTGAGGGGCACTCGTGTCTAAGCACGTTCCGTTAGTGGTCCTCAGGTTCGGAATAACCCATGTTGCTATGTGACACCGATGAATGCATGTAGCCCAGGAGTCTCTACGTGCTTGGTTTGGGGATGGCGTGGACACTGAGTTTTCTTTAGTTTGAGAACCACTGCTCTGATTTTTTAATGTTTGAGGGGCTACTTGCACCTGAGTCGAAAACTCTTTTAACACCCACACATTTTTACTTTTTGTTTTAAGAAATTGACTTGTTCTGTTTGTTCATAGCCCAGAAATATTTTTCTTCATGGCCCCGATCAGCAAGTGAAAATAGGAGACTTTGGTCTGGCCTGCACGGACATCATCCAGACGAACATAGGCTGGACCAACAGGAATGGGAAGAGTAAGTGTTTAGAGTGGTTGTTGTGGTTTATTTTTTATTTTATTTTTTTATTAAAGAATAAGGTGTCAATACCTAAAGGGAATTGTAAAGATTTCATAGCAGAGGTAAGACGGAAAACATTTGTCATTCCCTTGGGAGCTACGGTGCCTGCTTCTTTCATGTCGACCTTGGTAATGCGGCAGTGTTTAATATCTAGCTTTTTGAATTGTAGGAACCCCAACACATACCTCCAGAGTGGGTACTTGTCTGTACGCCTCGCCCGAACAGTTGGAAGGATCTGAGTATGATGCCAAGGTAGTATTTTTTACTTCTTACCTTTTTATTAGACTTACTCTGCAGTGGTAAGTAACCAAAAGTACAATAAATGCAGTGGGAGTTCCTACGTGGAGGTGTTTTTTAGAGATAATAGTTCTGCGGGTCATCTGTTACAGCAAACGGCCATAATAGGAAGCCTCACTTTTCAGCTGAATCTGACTGCATTGCTTTTTAAGCTACTTTATTCTTTCTAAATCGGTGGTTAACAAATTGTTTTTGCAACGTCACTGTTCACCCCAGGAAGCTGGGCTTCATAGAGGCCTATTTTCAGATTTCATCCTTCTGTTGTTAAGCTTAAAGAAATGCTAAATAATGCTACAGGGAAGTGCCACTTGACTCCCTTTGAAGTAGGATGAAGATACCAGTTTTAATTCACATTGTTCCTTGAGGGAATGTTAAGTAAATCCTTTTCTCAAAAGGAAAGCCTGTCTACAGCCATGCCACCCCGAACAAGTCTTATCTCGGAAGCTAAGCAGGGTCGGGCCTGGTTAGTACTTGGACGGGAGACCACCTAGGATGGTGTACACTAGATGCTGTAGGTGTAAAAAGTAAAAAATAAGGGATTGTAAGCTGACAAGGTCCTTGCAATCTGTGAGGTCAACCAAGGGTTGCCTCGCAAAAAAAAAAAATCATTCTTCTTTCAGTGATTGGGAAAGAGCTGCCAGAAAAAAACCATGGCCACTCCTAAAATCCTGTCTAGTAAAGACCTCCTTAAAAAAACTGTTTTTAGGAAAAGTAACACAGATTTTGTGCAGCGTTTTTAAACTTTACCAAGAATGTTTTACCATGAATAGAGGAAGAGGCGAGACTGGGGTAGGCCCCAGGACACTCTTGTGACCCCTCTGTAGCTGCACCAGCCCATGTGAGCTTGCGTTTCTCTGGCTGTGCCACGCCTGGGCTTTCAAGGAGTGGTGGAGTCAGGCGTGTGGTAGTGACTGCCGTGGATAGTGGGGTTATCCCTGCTCTCACCTGGCCATCAGTCCTTGGTGCAGTGAACCCGTTTGGTATTAAAGAGGTGGGCCTTGTGGCAGTACCTGTCACCTCTCACTCGGAGCAGTAGACCTGGCTGGTAGATAATTGCCTCTGTGAGAGATGAGCCAGCCCGCTGGGTTCTCTTCACTGTACAGATCGTCCTTTCTTACAAATCCTGTTGTGTTTGCACTGCGGTGGAACTGTTATGCTCACTCACTTTGTGTTTCATGACTAAAGTGCCCTCCTGCTCCCCCTTTTCCAGTCGGATATGTATAGCTTGGGTGTGATCCTGCTAGAGCTCTTTCAGCCCTTCGGAACGGAAATGGAGCGAGCACAAGTTCTCACGGGTGTAAGAACAGGTCAGATACCCGAGTCCCTCAGTAAAAGATGTCCGGTGCAGGCCAAGTACATCCAGCAGCTGACCAGAAAGAACGCATCCCAGAGACCGTCTGCTCTGCAGCTGCTACAAAGCGAACTCTTCCAAAGCTCTGGAAGTGTATGTACATTTTTTTTAATGCTAGGGAAAATATGAAGCTTAAAATGAATTTGTTTACATGGTGAATCCTATTTCATGCAGAACAGTAGAGCTTAGAGTGATTTATGGAAACAAAGTATTTGAACCCATTCTCGGCATCCCCAGTAGCACACTTGTTTTCATAGTCCCAGTGGGCAAGATGACCATCGCCGACTTCTACTCTAAAAATGACAGGCTCGAGTTTCTAGGCTTCTCTCACTAAGCCAAAAGCTTTTTGTTCTCCTTTTCAACTGTGGCATGTAACCTTTCATAAATTATCGTAATGTGCCTACCCTTGAAAAGGGACCGTAGCAAAGGGTAAAAGTCAGCAGTAATTCCCAGGGGGCATTGGAGCAGCGGTGGCAGAGACCGCCTTAGCCAGTCTGAGGCCTTCAGCATTCGAGCGTGTGATTCTGGTGTTCCATCCTGTGACGTCCCATCCCATCCTCTTCCTCCTCCTTGGCACGTCGTTACAGTGCCAAGTATGATGTCCAGTCTACATGTCCTGGAAACACAATTTCATGCATTCTGTTCTTCCATAAACTTTCTGGGCATTAACAAAAGGTCCTTCAAAGATGTGGCCACAGATTCTGTAGTGCTTTGCTACTCACAGTGTGGCCTTCGGAGCAGTGGATCTGGAGGCTCATTAGAAACATGGGGTCCTGGGATCCACCCCGGACACAGAGTCGGCATCTGCATCTTTCAAAGCCCCTGTGATTTACGTGGGCCCCGTTGGAGCAGGGTGGCATGAACTCAGTGGTCCTCACCTGTACCCTCCAGGCCAGCAGCATGAAATCCCCGGGACTGGATAGACTTCTTGGGCCCTTCCCCTGCCCCCCACCTAGCGAGGCAATCTCGGGGAGACGGGGCAGCGGCCCGCCTGAGCAGAAACTCAACGCGATTCCGGTGCCCACTGGTGTGGGAACCTCTTGTGGTAACTTTAGTTGACTGTCTTCTATTTAAGACTTATTAATTTTCAAGTAAAACAGTGAATTTTTTACTAGCCTGAACAGTAAACAGGTAGGTGGAGTACTCTGAGTCTTTTGAAATGGCAGACGTGATTATGTGATCTCCTCCAATGAGATCACAGTTAAGGTAGCTGTTAGAGACCAGGTACTTGGTGTTTATGATAAAGGTTTCTCCTGTCTTGTGGAACTTTTTATAAAATAACCTGTACATAGCCATATAGATAAACCGCGTACGTACAGGCAGTTCTCGCTTTACGCAGTGGAGGACCGTAAAAACGACCGTGCAAAGCTCAGGCCACGCTTAATAATCAGTGGGGCAAGTCACGATTATTCTGTGACCTCTCAAAACGTTTCTAACAACATTAAAACTCTTAGTGTCGGTTATGGATGTATGTGGACGTAAGAAAACTGTACAACTAACATTCAGCGCGCTGTTGCTGAGAGTCAAAGCGCTTCAAGGGTGGTGTGAGCAGTGCCTGCCTTCAGCTTGGGGACGGAGCGAGTACCTCTCGGGTGGTGACTTGTCACACTCCTCTCTGGTTTCGCATCGGCTTCCAGCATCCTTTGCACTCTCGGTGTTATAAAATCTGAGTTCCTTTGAGAAGTATTTTTGCTGGTATCACTTTCTTCATCCCTTGCATCCCTTCTGTTGACAGGTCACCTTTACTGTCCTGTGGCTACCCACCCCATCTGTGTAGTGGCGGCAGGGTTAGCATTTCCATGTCAGCTGTTTCTTCTGTGACACTATTTCCAGTTGATTGGATTTTCACACCCAGCATTTCCACTTTTGTTTGCTGCGCTGCCATCTTTGTTGGCCAGTTCCCTTTCAGTTGTCCATTTTTTAAAAATGTCACTTGAGTTTATCACTGGGAGACGAGGCAGCACAACTACATTGCCTGTGTGTGAACTAACAGGTGTATAGTGACCAATGACCAACAGAAGTAATGTGACTGGTCCCGGATCGTGACGTGTCGGTTATTCAGTGTCTTATAGACTAAAGCGTTTCTTTACTATACCGTGGTGACTGACACTCGAACCACGTTTATTTCCCTAAGCTTTGATATCTGGGATCCATGCATATTGGAACTGTGCTAAGTGAGGCATGCCTGTATATTTAAAAGGAAGCCATTTTAACGGAGCTTAAAATTTTTTTACAGGTGAATCTCACCCTACAGATGAAGATACTAGAGCAAGAAAAAGAAATCGAAGAACTAAAGAAGCAGCTAAGCCTCCTTTCTCAGGACAGAGGGGTTAAGGAGGACATGACAAATGGGGTGAGCCCGCCTGGCCTTAATCAGGTGCCATAAATATGAAAGTGGACTCCACTCTTTTAAGCTAAAGTCAACTGGAATGTATTTTTTTAAACTTTATCAGGATATAGGTGGTGGAATACTTAATTGTACTTAGTTAGCTCGTACGTGACCTATTAAAGTGAGTTTGTAAAAGTACCCCTCAACTGCCTTTTCCTTAACTAGTTCCTTTATGATCTAGCGTTTTTGAATTTTAGACTGCTCTAAACTAAACCCGTTTTGCTGTTTCCCTTGTCCTATCCCACAAGCTCTTCTTCCTGGATTTCTTAATATTTCTGTCCATCTGGTCTCAGGCTAAGTTTAAAAATCCTCAATTCATTTTTTCCCTTTGAATTCTGTCTGTTGACCACCAAGTCCTCCTCTAGAAGCTTCTACTACAGGAATCTAAGCATACCCCACACCCCGTCACTGCCCACACCTGGGCCTGCACTCACTGGACTGTTGACAGCTGCCATTTTTTTCTCTTTCACATTGCTGCCAGTCAGTCACTAGAAAGACGCCTCAGTTCATGCCCTGGCTCAAAGGTTCCACTGGCTCCCTGCCGCCTCCAAGCTAGAACTTCAGCTTCCTATCAGTGCCCACCATCCAGCCCACTTCCGTGCTCTCCACCTTCACCTTGACGTCAGTCCAGAATCATGCCCTTTCGAAGCTTTGTACTTCTTGCTCCCAAATGATCCCAAAGTAGCTGATTGTCGGTGCTCGTGCACTGTCCCCCTGGTGTCCTCCTTACTACAGCAACTGACTGCCCATCAGCTGACATTCCTCAGAGGTAGCGATGTGATGTTCGTTTTCTTCCCCCAAAGGTGCCTCCCACGTAGCTGGCACTTGTCATGGTATACTGCACGTAATGTTGCTGGATTTTAAATAAAACGAAAACCACAAATTACATGGTACTTTTATTGATACTCGACAACTGGCCTAAATCCTTTTTTAGTACAAGCCCCTTTACCAACGACAGGCATGAAACAGCACCATTCTGAAAATCTAAACTCTTTCATGTCAGTTACCGAGACTCACTGAAGGAGCTTGAGGGCAGTGCTGAAGGGGGCCAGGTTCTCACAGGCCCTCAGCCACTTCTGCACGTTGGCCGGCGCTGGCACACTGCAGCCCCCCGTCTGCTGGAGCACAGACCACAGCACGACGTCGGCCACGGTGAGCTCGCTCCCGACGAGCCACGGGCTCTTCCCGAGAGCGGAGTTCATGGAGCGGAACACGGCGGCTGTTTCTTTACTGCCTCCCTCTCTCAACTGAAAAACGGCTATATCCACCCAGCTATCTATGAGGGTTAGAGTGACAGCGTTATGCTTCTGGCCAAACAGAGAGAACAAGAACCGGGCAATGTTCCCTTCTCCTTCGATGGGACACATCCTCTGGACACTGAACTTCATCTGAGTCTTTGGCACTGAAAGGAAAAACACCCCATGTAATGTCAGCAAGAACAGCACCCGAAGTACCTGCACAGCGTGGGCAGGGGACTGACGGACGGCAGGAGCTGGCAGCAAGGGGAAGGGTATTTTCAGGAAGAAAATCACATTTTTAATCTGTTTCCAAAAGGTATAATATTTAAGAAAGTTTAAACTATGTTTAGAGAATACAAACTGTCAAAAAGTAACCATTCCTGGTATTTGACGATGACAGTTTGCAAGCTAGCAGGGACCTCGGACTATCGTCTCTGGCCCTGCACCTAAGGACTCGCAGGGCGAGGGCTGGAAACCAGGAGTCCTGTCTCCCAGGCAGGCCCTGGGCCCTCACAGTCGCCTCAGGGTGTAGCCGAGGGCAGCTCAGGCATTACTGGGTGGACGACACCAACTCACTTCCCTCTGTGTAAACGTAACCAGGGAAGAGTGGGAGAGTGAATAAAACGACATCCTGCCATCCTTTTATGGCCACCTGAAAAGGTAACATCACTGTCCCCGTAATGACGGGTTTTGGAATGTGAGGGCAAGATGACTATGATAGCCACTACTCCCTGCTCTGGCTGGTCAGATGGGATCGGCCCTAAAACTGTGCCCTCCGTCAGAGACCAGAGGCTTCCCAGGGGAAGGAGACGGCTTTGGGGCAAGACTCAGCTGTGCTCCTCTTACGCAGCCACTCCACAGGCTTTCCAGACTTACAGTGACCTGACACAAGTGGCTGAAGAGTCTGTATAGCTCAGAAACATCACTGTCCTAGCCCTTGCCGCCTCTTAGTAAAATCATGGTGCACGTATCATGACACAGGATGTGGGTCAAACCCGGTCCCCTTTACTTACCATTTTTCCAAATTAGAGTAAAACCCAGCTGATACTCATGACGAGACTGATTTTTTGTTTGCTCGCCAAAGCACTTGAGAAGGTTTTCTGGCACGTTCTTGACTGCTGAATGCGTGTGGACAGTGGACAGGACCTTGAAGTGGTCACAGAGCAGCCGGTGCAACACGAGGAGGGACAGGGGAGGCGAGGCGGGGTTCGCGTTGATCACGATGTCTTTCAGCGCCCCGTAATCCTGGGGGGAAAACCCAGAGCAAATAATAGTGACAGCAATTCGAATATGTGTAATTGTACCAGGTGCTATTCTTGGAACCTATGTCCCATGAAGAAGGTGCTACTATGATCCCACCTCACACCTGAAGAAATGAGTCCTGAAGGTATTTGACTTACCAGGGTCACTCAGCTCAGTATGAAGTAGAGCTGGGCTGCGAGCTGACGCCAACCCCTTAAGCCTGTACTGCCAGCTCCTGACAAAAAAATTGACTTTACTGTCAAATTAGTATAATAACAGATTTGGAATGGCACTTCTACTTGTCCCTAAGTTAAAAAAAAAAAAAAAAAACCACATGCAATTACAGTCGGCCTTCTGTATCTGCGGGTTTCACACCTGCAGGTTCAACCAGCTGGGGACTGAAAACTATTTCGATCTGCTGGGAACCCGTGGATGCATTGTTCTCTGCCACTTTACAGAAGGGACTTGAGCACCCACAGATTTTGGTATCTGCAGGGGATCCTGGAACCAGTCCCCGCAGATACCAAGTGACAGCTCCATTTACCAAACCTTTCCAACACCTGACCTGATCGTTTCTGTGTCCTTTGTGTTTGAGTAAAAATGGTCTTGGCTCAAAATATCATTGGCAGAGGTGGGAGAGTATGAAAAACGAGGTATTAACTGACACGGCAAAACATCTAAAGATGCAGACTTTATTTCTGTGCGCTCTTGATAACAAATGAACTCGCAGAACACAATGAATGCCACTTGTACACGGCCGGCCACAGTCCTGCCTCTGGTGGCCTCTCCTGACCAATGCCCTTCGTGTCGAGCTGCGACAAATGCCTTGCACAGTGTGTTACGTGGCGCTGTGCCTTCTGAGGTATCAAAATTCATCTTAAGTACCACGTGCGCTGGGAAGCCTTCCCAGCACCCTGAGCCCGGCACAGCTGTGTGTGGTCACCGACTCATCAACTAGAATGGCTCCCTGGGGACACGGCCAGGTAGCTGGGTCTTCGGTGCATGCAAACGTGTACCGGGTGCTAAAGGAATACACAAGGGCGGAGGTAACGAGGTTAGGTCCCTGGGGGAGCCACTAGGACCGCCTCTACTTGTTAGGGCCTTAAGCTGTACCACTGCCATCGACAAATGTAGAGGGGGTTATTAGCAGGGGTTCTTGGGAAAAACGCTTCTGCACCCTCCAATAAATAACACTTTATAATAAGACATCCTTTATTAGATTATACCCTAAATTAGCTGAAGCCTGTAGACTGATCATTAAAGGTGGCTCATACAACTTAATTTTCATAAAGCAAGCTGAATTTAAGCAAAATACACTTGAACTATGAGACTATGACTGGCTTTTAGCGATATGTTTCGAAAGGAATGGTGGGATTTTTGGCCGGGGCAGCCAAAGCTCTGAAATTCAGGCAACTCTCGAAGAGTCCAGGTCGGCTGTGCCGAACTGAGCGAAGGACATAGACCCGTTTCTCCAGGGCTCCGGCTGCGGGAATGCTGCCCGAACAGTCAGAAGCTGTAACTCGACTTCCTTCTCTGCCCTGCTCTTCACCAGGTCTGCAAAGTCCTTAGAGCTTACTCTGGCTTCACTCCTAGCTCGGGAACATGCTCTGCGCAAAGGCACACTCATTTAAGGGAGAAAAAAGAACATGCTCTTTGTACCACTTTTGAAAACCGGGAAAGCGAGGCTTCACTCAGCAGCACAATTTTCCGCCACTAACGACCACCCAGCACACTGTGGTTCTTTAGTTGTTCAGGAACTCAGAACTTACCTTTCCAAGCACTGAATTTAAGTCTAATGCACTGGTCGATAACGCAGAGGGCTCACTGGCTTGGATTATGTTGGTTACGTCCAAGTCTGCATCTGGCGTCTGAATCATCTTGGAGAGACCATCAACTGCAGCTTTCAATTCATACAGACGTTTTAAAATATCATCTTGACGGGACTCAAGAGTTTGAAGAGATGGGTAAGACTCTCCCTAAACAAACCAACACCAGTGTTCATTTCCTCTAACATCGAGGCAGTCTGTTTAATTTGATCACTTGTCTTCTACTTCCACAAAGTCATCAAACCTCCCACCTTTTAGAAGACATTAAAATGAAGTGGCAGAATCATCTTATTTTCCCCACAGTACAATAGGTCCTGCAAATCGATTTACAAATGCTTTAAAACAAAAAATGTGACCGAAAGCCACCTGGAAATTGTATGACTCTAATTTCTGGTAATTTAAGAACAGAGGGGCAGGATATAAACACAAACTGTTCTCTATTCTTAATATCAAGCTAGTTCAAAACACTTTGCTTAAGCAAATAGAAAAAGATGGCAGCAAAAACGTAACTCAATAATTTATAGAAGGGAAAAGGTAGCACGCAGTTAAAAGTGTCCTTTGGCTTGGAAGTCTGTCCATGGGAAGTCTGTCAACTGATCAATTTCCCAAATCATTTATCTCGGCAGTACTGGCACTCTCAGAATCATCTAGAACTTTCTCACTGCTGATATGTTCAACTTTATAAATATGGAACACTTATATCCTTCATTCACTGAATCTTTGCATCTTTCTTGCCTGGCACAGTGACTGGTACGTAATAAGTTACCAATAATAGTCACAATGTCTCAGTCTGTATAGATTTACCTTATAAATATCTATAAATATATATATGTATAAAAACTTCCCAATACAATCCCATTGTACAGCCTATTTCCAGATTCATCAGCTCTCACAGCAGACAAGCCATTTCGAGTTAAGAAAATACATAAAACTTGAGAACATGTCATAACTAGACAGAACAATCAAGAATATGTCAATGACCTTGAGTGTATTATAAATATGCACTCACAACACTACGAGTGTAGGAGGAGGATTTGCTCACATTTGTGTGCTGGTAAGTTTAATGTTCTTGGGAACACTGCCTTCTCATGCTGATCCAATTCATCGCCTGGTGCTGTCAATTTTCTGGAATCCATCAGCTTCTAAGCATGCCTCCACTGTCACTGCTCAAGCCCGAGACACATTTTTCACTGGCCTACTTCCACTGGTCACCCTGCACCCATTCTGGTCCACCCCTCCAATCCATCCCTAGGATGGCAGCCAGAGAGAGTAAAACAAAGGCAGATCCCTCCACCTCCTCTAGGCCAAAAAAGCAAAGCTGTTAACCTGGCTTGAGAGACAGCTTGTATGACTTGTCTTGTGGCTGCCTCCTCTCACATAATTCTCCCCTTGTTCTGTGCTCTAGCCACACTGTCCTTTGGACTCCCAAAGACCATACACCTGCCACTGGACTTTGACTCATTCGTTCCAGCTGCAACATTCCTGGCTCTTCTCTCATCTGGTTAAGTCCTCTTTACCCTAGAGCTGAATCACTACTTTCTCACCTCCCCTCACTTGCTGCTCTTGTTTAAGATCAAACAGCAAAGAAATATGATTGACTTCTGGGTGGAACAGAATTTAGAAGCAGCTTATTCTTTGTGTCGCTCTCGTTATCCTGGATATGCTAGATTTCTAATTATCTGTCTATCCACATTGTTATCGTTCACTAGAGAAGTGGGACTGTGTGTCTTCTAAGTTAGAGGCTTTGGGGAGGGGGTCAGCATCAGGAATTTGTATATACTGCTGGTGAGAGCACCAATCAGCATAACCACTTTGGAAAGCAAATTATCGAGTACATACAGTTGAAGACAGACCTGCCTACTGAGTCAGCAACCCCATCCCTTGGTAAATATCCTATGCTGGCTCATGTACAAAAATATTCACTGCAGAATGAAACAGCTTACAATACGATAACCAGCGGACACCGTGAGCAGTGGGCTGGATAAACCTTGGGGATACTGTCATGCGATTGAACAGCAGACTGCAGAAAGGACCACTACTCGTCATTTCACACAACAAAGCGAGTCCTGAAATCATGATGTCTAGAAGCAGCAGCCAGACATGACAAGACACAAACAGCATGTTTCCATTTACAGCAAGACTACGTGGTTCAGGGATGTAGACTTAGGTGGCCCAATAGGGGAGAAAGGAAGGATATGATGATCACGGAAATCTGGGACCTTTCGGAGTAGATTAATGGGGGCAGTAACAATGTGTGTTAGTTAACTTGGGTGGTGGTGACACTGGGGTTCTTTTTATTCTTAAAATGAGCATTTCCGTGTTCTTTACTTTTCTGTGAGTAAAGTTTCGGAATAAAAAAGTTTAAGTAACCATAGCGATAAAAGAAAATAGATGCAAGATGGATTGATCTTTCAACAGATAAAAGTTAGGGAACCGGTGGGCGCGGGAGGCCGGGGGTGGGGCAGGAGGCCAGGCCGGGTCCCCACCGCATGACGGAGCCAGGTCGTATCCCACCGCCCAGACCTGGAGAGACCGGATTCCCAGGCCCCGAATCTAGGGAGCCGGGCCAAGGCGCCAGCTTCCGCTGGGCGGGAGGGAGGCCTAGGCGCCTGCGCACTGAACAGATGGAAGGGCGGGGTGGGGCGGGGACCGCTCTCTCCTACCTGCACGTGGCCCGCATTCGGCGCGGGGCAGCTGGTCCCGCCGTGCACGTTGGGGAGCCGGTACATGCAGGTGGGAAGCTCTACACGGAGAGATGCGCCGCCCCCGTGATAGGGCTTTACCTGGTACATCGGCATCGTGGGAGCCAAAGGAGAGGAGTTGGCGGGTGAGGGACACGAACAGTCAGAAACCGTGAAACGCCACTATGGACGGCGGCCACGTCTTTTCTGGTCCCACAGCTGCGTTCAGGAAAGCGCAGTCCCTTTGCTCTAATTGGCTCAGGCTCTCTGACGTCACGGCTGCGACCTTTCACACGACCAATCAGCGGGAAGGAAATGCGGGAATCGTTTTTTTTCACCTCACCCGGAAGGGGCGGGGTACAGTTTCAGAAGCAGCCAATGGGCGGCTAGGAGGCGGGGCACCCGTGGGAGCGGCGGCGGGAACTGTCGCGAGTCCGGAGGCGGGTGGCCCGCTCTGCATCCATGGAGCCAGCCGAGGGGCCGAGGTGAGCGGTGCTTGCAGTCTCCTCTCGCGGTCGCTCCAGAGCCCTGCAGAGGAGGGGAAAACGACCACGGCGCTTGGCGAGGCCGCGGCCCGCAGGCCCCGGAGCGGGCACCTCAGCGCTCCTTCCGCCGCCACTTGCGTGAACGCTGAGGTCAGGTCCGCGGAGATGCAGCCCGCTCCCTGGCAGGCTGCCCGGGCGCCGCCACACGTCCGTGAAACTGAGGCCAGGCATGACATCCCCGCAGACTGAAATCGTTTTCTTTTTACCTGGTTTCTCTTTTTGAAAACAAAATCGAGGTTATTTTGGGGGAAGCTTCAAGACACGTTCTAATTTGCATAGCCGCAGTTTGAAAAAAATGCAGCATCTCCGTGAGTTTGCGATTATTGGCTAGTAAGCTTCACTGAATTCGGGGTAGCGAATCATCTGCTGGCTCTGTCGCATTCAGGTCGGATTCCTGAACCCAAATTCACTGTGTTGTAAGGTTTTGTCCCCACTCCTCAATAAATATCAGACATAGACCTGTAACCTGTGGATCCTGTGTTATATTACACCCAAGTAATCAATTAAACCATTTGCTAGAAATTGCTAAGTTAATGAATATGTGGAATGCATTCTTGGGGTGAGGCAGATGAGGGAGAGGGGAGCGGTCTAGACAGAGACCTAATAATAGACAAGACACAGTTGTCTAGAAGAGCTTGTGATATTCAGAAAACAGTTGTTTGCTGCAACTAGAATTTAGAGGAATTGTCAAGGGAGGATTGGAGAGAATGAGAAAATAAAGTAGATTGAGTCCAATTATGACTGGTTTTTAAACTTCATATAGCAGACAGTGGAACGCTAATAAGTTTTTAAGCGGAAAAATTATTTGACCAGATTTGTGATGTCTAAAGTAACTCTGGTGGTAGCATCCATCTGGTGGATGGATTGGAATAGGGCGAAAGTGGAGACAAAGCAGTTGGAAAACTCTTAAAGTAGGTACAGCCAGAACTTTGAGGGCCTTTGTTAAGGCAGCAGCTGGTAGCCTGGGTTTGAAGTCGGGAGATGGTCTTGATTTTGACATAAGCGCTATGTATTTCCCAGCATACACTTGGTTTTTCAAATTGTGTGAGAAATGTTGCTTTCATTTTTGAAGCAAAAAGATCCCATTGTTGCAAAACATTATTGACCCATAGCTTGAGGGGTACATGTATCTCCTTCACGTAGATCCCAGTATAATTAGATTTTAAAATATCTATTGCATTCTGAGGATCGATTCAGAAGATTTTTTGACAGATATTTAAGAATTAAATGTGTATAAGTTTGTATCATAAATGAACACATTAGACCCACTAACTATTAACAGAGATGAATCATTTTCCACAGTTAAAACCAGGATGAAAATGCTTAAGTACATACTTGCTTTGTTTCCTGTAACTGGTTTCTTTAGTACAGAACTTGCTAAGTCCATCAAACCTATCGATGGGAGGTCAATCCACCAGATTTGTTCTGGGCAGGTGGTATTGAGTCTAAGCTCTGCCGTGAAGGAGTTGATAGAAAACAGCGTGGACGCCGGTGCCACTAGCATTGGTGAGTTTGGGAGACTTAAGCCACAAAATAATCAGTTTATGCTCTTTTATTCAAGACACATTTGTTATTGTGATAAGCCAATCAGTGTTGGTGTACTAAGAAATTATTTTTTAACTTAAATTTAGCTATTAAAGTTAGTTATTAAATTCATTAATAAAATATGTGCCTAATAGGTAGGTAGTAATAATAATAGCAGTTAAGTTACTGTGTTCTTACTATGCGCTAGGCAGGCATTGTGCTAAGAACTGTAGAGGGGATATCTTATTTAATCTGCAGGATAGCCTTATGAGATAGGAATTATTACTATGGTTATTAATTGCCTTTATTTTACAAATGAAGAAATTAAGGCATAGGGAAGTTCCTTTTTTTGAAGTTATAAAGCTAGTAAAATATGATCCCAGAAAGTCTGATTCCAGGGCCTGTTCTCTTTAATAACTATATTAAAATTATCCTTTTGAGAGGAAGAAAAAAGAACGAAAGGAAGAAAGTAAAAAACTAATTAGGGCTAGTACATAGGCAAGGACTTTAAAAGATAAAATATATAAAATGACAACAATACATTTAAATAAATGTAGTTATGACTCAAATTTACATTTCGTAAGTTATAAATACTATCACTATAAAGGCTTTTACGTGGATCTATTCTTTGAGAAATAAACATTTTAAACTTTTTAGACCTAAGGCTTAAAGACTTCGGGGTGGATCTCATTGAAGTTTCAGACAATGGATGCGGGGTAGAAGAAGAAAACTTTGAAGGTTTAAGTAAGTTGAATTTTTCTGATCCTATTTTAAAATATTTGGGCAAAATATCTCAAAATTTTGAGTATACACGGAAACAGCTTTTTAAAATCCGTTACTTTGGAAGGCGTTGTACATATTCATTGCTATACCACTTGAGACATCCTGGGTCTTTCTACCTCTCTTTCAGCTCTGAAACATCACACTTCTAAGATTCAAGAGTTTGCCGACCTAACGCAGGTTGAAACTTTTGGCTTCCGGGGGGAGGCTCTGAGCTCACTTTGTGCACTGAGGTGATGCAATGTTTTTATCCGCTAACTTGACCCCTTATAAATATCTCTCTGGAAACTAAAAAATATGATTAGAATCATTATTGTTTACACTTTTACATCTGAATCCCAGCTTTTCACTTCTGCATTCTGTTTTATCTCTTTTTTATTTTATTTTTTTACTTTTTACGCCTACAGCACCTGGTCTTCCTAGGTGGTCTCCCATCCAAGTACTAACCAGGCCCGACCCTGCTTAGCTTCCGAGGTCAGATGGGATCGGGCTTGTTCAGGGTGGCATGGCCATAGACCATTCTGTTTTTATCTTACTACCAGTCTAAGTGGTAATACTTCTGTAATGTAAGCAATGAATGAATGAAATGAACCAAATAGTATTATAAAAAAATGGTTACCTTTATTAAAACAATAACTTCTCAATTTTAAAATGTAGATAATAAATTATAGATGCTATTGCTTTTAATTTATTTCAGTATTTAAGAAAAAATTTAAAGCAATTATTTACATAACAGTCTAAATTTTTATAAATATCTATTTACACATTTGAACTATAGTATCTTTTGGATCTTTTAAAAATATTGTTAGAACACTAGTAATGAAACTGAGAAAGAAATCTTTATTCATCAATATAAGTTTTGAGATTTTTTATTTTGCAATTCAACCGGAAACACAAATATACAAAGCTTTTATGTAAACAGCATTTCTAGAGCTCTCTGTCTTACTGTGTATTAGGGGCCAGACCTTAGGGTTTATGATGACTCCTCATCTCTTTAAACTCTCTCAATTCTCTTGGAAGGATCATTGTCTCTTATTCTGAGAGTTTTGAGACCATGGAAGTGAAAAGGTGAGCTCGTGATGTCCAGCACCCATGAGCGGCTAACCGACTGCGCCGTGCCTGGCATTTTCTTGCAGCGATGTCACTATTTCAACCTGCCACTCATCTGCGAAGGTTGGGACTCGACTGGTGTTTGATCACAATGGGAAAATTGTCCAGAAAACCCCCTACCCGCGACCCAGAGGGACGACGGTCAGTGTACAGCAGTTGTTTTATACTCTACCTGTGCGCCATAAGGAGTTTCAAAGGAATATTAAAAAGGTACGATAAATTCAGAATCCTGGCTTCCAAGAGCACCGAGAGTATAAGGTACACATGCAGTGAGAGTGTGAGGTATGTGTGCAGTGAAAGCGTGACGTATGCATGTGGTGAGTGGGTGAGGTACGTGTACAGTGAGTGTGTAAGGTAATATAATGAAACCAAGTCATACAGAGTCTGAAACACTTAAGTAATATAGAATTGTATACAGCAGAACGTTATTGTGTCTGCCTACTTCCCAGAGTTGGGTTTATGTCCTTTAGACTTGAAATGTATACCTATATATATATATAACCTTTAGACACGTTTCTACTTTTTTAACAATTAATATATTATATATACTGTGCTATAACTTGATTTTTTATATAGCATATTGTAGATATCTTTATCATTCTGCCATTATATGGATATACCACAGTTGATTAGCCTCTTATCGACGGTGGCTGAGGTTTTTTTCTAATTTTTCCCAATTACAGATTGTTCTAGTGAACATTTTTGTAACATATCTTTGATCGTTTGTGCCGGTCTTTCTACAAGGATACTTTTCTAGAGGAGGATTACAGAGTCAAAGGGAATGGACTTTTCGATTTTTATAGGAGTGGGAGAATTGTGATAAAAACCTAAGCCTCCGAGTTCCCTTTTACACCATGTCCTGGGTCATTCTGCCAGGAATAATTCACCTTATTTGTGAGCCGATAGGTGAACTTTGAATTGGATGTTCTAAGCTGAATAATGTAATTCCTGCAAGATTAAGCAGCACGGAGTCTTGCGCGTGTGTGTTTTGAACAGGAGTATGCCAGGATGGTCCAGGTCTTCCACGCGTACTGCATCATTTCTGTAGGCGTCCGTGTCAGCTGCACCAACCAGGTCGCACAAGGGAAACGACAGCTCGTGGTTGGCACGAGCGGAAGCTCCAGCATCAAGGAAAACATCGGATCTGTGTTTGGGCAGAAACAGGTAGTGGCGGCCAGTTAGCTAAAAACATTTTATTGCTCTAGTAGTGATTATGGCAAGTTTCTGTTGTCCTTTCCAACAGATGGAGAGTAAAACCCAGGAGTCGATTCTTTTTTTTTATCAGGTGCCTATTATAAAAATTAATGTCGCGAGCCGAACGTTTTAATTTTTTCGTTCAGAAAATAAAATGATACTTTTACTCTCTGAAAAAAACGTAAAGTATTGTGGGCAATGTATTAATTATGGATAAGAAGATGCTCAAGTGTTTCAACTTTTCTACTGAAAAGTCAAAATGATTATAGTACTGCATAAAGCAGCTGTCAAGATTCTTTGTGCTGTTAATGTGGATAGCCGACTAGGAAAGAAACACACAGACAACCGCAGTATAGCTTGCTTTCTGAAATTAGGTCCATTTGTCTGTGCTGGGAACTAACTGTGAATCTTGCTTTTTTTAGTTGCAAAGCCTCATTCCTTTTGTTCAGCTGCCCCCTAGTGACAGCGTCTGTGAAGAGTTCGGCTTGAGCTGCTCTGATTCTCTCCATAATCTGTTTTGGTGAGTAGATTGATGCCAGGAAAATCACAAACTTTTTTTTTCTTGACTATTTTGTTTTTAATGATTATGATGTCAGGCTTTTGGTTTCTTATGTCCATTATAAACCTGTAGGGAGTATTATTGCTGAGAAAAGATTTATATAAAGGAGGCAGTTACTTAATTCAAAGAATATTTTGGGTAACTAACTGGTGCATTTTAGGGACTTTTCTAAAGTAATACTTGTAGTAAAGGTTCTGTTTAGTGAAGAATTAGAATAACTTTTAAAAATTATTTTATATATAATGGTTCACTTTATTGGAATCTGACAGAGGCAGCAGAGGCTGTTTCCTTACCCAGTCTACATCATTACTTTTAGTGTAAGAAAAATACATTTTCCATAAGTGAGACTGGGCCTGCGATGGTGCATATAGCTTACCCTCCACTTGCCTTTGGCTTATGCCCGAAATTAAAGATGGGGATTCATTTCTTTGTATTAGGGTATCGCTCTTGTGGAAATGCAGATATCCCCGAGGCAGATCTCAGGTGGAATTAGCATTTTACCAATACTTTAGGAGGTACAAGTTTGCTAACCCGGAACAGACTCTAAAAGGACAGAGAATGCGGGCAAAGATCCCAATGACAGGGAGCTGGATTTCCTGGACTGCAGGTGAGGAGAGCACAGAGATTCTAGAGTGAGTTTGGGGTGAGACCCCCTTCTTTACTGCAGGATAAAGGTTTAGTAGGGAAGGCAGGAGGGGAGCTGAAGCAAGTAGTTTTGAATCCACAGCGTTGCCCATGGTGGACTTGCTCTACAGGAGCTTCAGAGCTTTCCAGAAGGTGCGTGTTCTTTTCGTGAGTCATCAGAAAGGAACACAGATGCACATTAACCGAAATGTTAGTACTTATCAGCACGTCAGCAGGTGTTTTTATTTCTTTTTACTTTAAGAATGTTCCATATGATGTGCGTTTCTAACCCTTCTCACTCTGTCATCCTGTCCTTGTTAACACTGAATAGTATCTCAGGTTTCATTTCTCACTGTACTCATGGCGTTGGAAGGAGTTCAACAGACAGACAGTTTTTCTTTATCAATCGGCGGCCTTGTGACCCAGCAAAGGTATTTAAAATTTTTTTGTATAAGTTTTTTCTTTTTCCCTTTAACTTTTTATTGTATTTATTATGTAATAACGTTTTCTGACACAGGCAATTCACACGGAACTTAGGACTTTGATTTAGAAACATGGCTTTAAGTGATCTAATTTTAGGGATTTAAGGAAGTCTACTACACAGTTGTTTCAATTATATTCATGTGCATATAAGTATACATTAACAACCAACATATTTATTATCATAAAAGTTAACACTTTGAAGAAAATAAACATTTCAAAACATTTATCATTGCCTAGACTTTTTAGTGTAGATGCACATGCATAGACTTCTGTATTTTCCCTTCCTTCTGTTCATTTTTCGAGAAAATGAGGGTTCAGATTACTTCTATCTCAGACTGAAACTGATCATCTCGATAGGGTTACATGGATTTTTAGTGGTTCAGCTTTGACTTTGTACCTTCAGCAACATCGTACTTCAGTAATATTTTGTTTTCCAGTGACACGTGAAAATTACTTCTATCAGATATGGTTCAACCTGTAAATTTTTAGCCTGTATTGTAATTAGTGTGATTTTCATGGTTTATCTCTAATGCCATTTCATAATCTCATTGTAAAGTCATATAAATGTATTTCTGTGTACATTCGAATGTGTTTTATGAGCATTTAAACTGCACCTGCGTCGTTTCGCATTTCTTCAGGAGCATCTTTAGATTAGAAAAAGATTCCATGATTGAACGTCATTAATCAGATTCTCTGGTTAAAAATATCCCTTTTTAGGGACACAAGGAAGCTTTTGAGTGATACATCTTTTCATTCCCTTGATGGTAATCTCATTGATCTTGATTGTAGACTTAGCAAGTTGTACACTTTACATATGTATAATTTATTACAGACCAGTTACACCTCAGTGAAGTTGTTACAAATGTATCCTTTTAGTGGTTGGTTAGCATAGCATGTTGTTAGGACACTGGGGGAAGGGAACATTTATTCTTTTCTGATCTTTGTTTTGTATGTAGGTTTCCAGACTTGTGAACGAGGTCTATCACACGTATAATCGTCATCAGTACCCATTTGTTGTTCTTAACATTTCTGTTGATTCAGGTAAGTTGCACTGAGATTTCAGTAAAATTGGTGACTTACTCCTAAAAGAATAAAAGAAAATTATAAAGCTCTGATATGATTGGAAAAAGACTTTTATAGTAACAATTAATAAAAATGTATTTTCTTTTACAGACTTTTAATTTTATTTTAGAGACTTTTATTTTTTTAATACAGATTTTCCTGCTTTCTACTTGAAACTTGGTTAATTGCGTTATTTGAAAAATGTGACTTTTTCATGGCATTTCAGGGAAAAAATATCCTAAATGTTCTTCCTGATTTTGAAAATAATGAATTTCACATTTTTCTTCTAATCGTTGAAATTCTGGTTTATTCTTATCCAATATTTTATCTACTTAGAAATACATATGTGCACACTTTAAAAAACATATAATGATTGATATCTATCCATAGCCTTTGGGATGAGAAAATAATTTTTAATAATTTTGTATAGTACTCTTTATCCTTAGAAATGAATATTTTCTTTTCCATGTCATTAAAAATTATTCAGAAACGTGATTTTAACAGCTGCATTGATCATAGTCCAACTGCATTGATCATAGTCCAGATGGATATATTTTGGTTTTAAACTTTTTTATTTTTAGCTATTTGTTTTTCGTTCTTAGAAATTTAAATACCGTCCTTATAATGGAATCATTATCTATATCTGTGATTATTTTCTTAAAATAAATTCCTAGAATTAGAATCACTATGTCAGTGAATGTGATGGTGTTGTACCAATTTACACATCTATCAACGATGGAAAATTATTTGGTTAAAATTATACTTTTTAACCAAATTCAGTAGATGGTAAAATGACGTTTCGTTTGCAGTTGTGTTATACATTTTTATGTGTTTATTTGCTCCTTTTTTTGAAGTTTACCCATTCAAATCCTCGCATACTTTGTTTATCTAAAAGATTGTTCATCTTTTCCATGTTTATTTGAAAGAGTGCATTTTACAGTTTATGAATAAGAGTCTGGACACTGTAATGTTTTCAATGGTACTTTTAGTAAGTACAAGTGAATAAAACAGGTAGGGAAATTTCTATTGTCAAAGGTGAATTTAAACACAATAAGTTTCCTTTCTTTTTTGCCTTAGAATGTGTTGATATCAATGTTACTCCGGATAAAAGGCAAATTTTACTACAAGAGGAGAAACTTTTGTTGGCGATTTTAAAGACGTCTCTGATAGGAATGTTCGATAGCGTTGTCAACAAACTGGACGTCAGTCAGCAGCCTCTGCTGGATGGCGAAGGTGAGAAAAAGCAAGCTCAGAGCGAGCTTCTGCAGCAGCCGTCGCGATCCTCTGTCTGTCTGTCTGTCTGTTTTCATGCGCAATAAAAAAAGAAAGGACGTCCTGCGTCTGTCTGTCTGTCTGTCTGTCTGTCTGTCTGTTTTCATGAGCAATAAAAAAAGAAAGGACGTCTCACACTAGAAAGTCTGCTGCCGCAGATTTCAGGTAATCTGTTTAAAAAGAGACGCAAACAACGGCGTTTAGTACACGTGGGTCTAGTACTGAGCCTCAGCTGATATCTGCAAGCCTTCTGTTAATTTCCAGAGTTCTGAAAACATGGGTTTTGATGACTTTTGCCAGTTTTCCCATTCCTTTCATAGAGGAGGGAATTTCTGGAGGCTGTTACTCTGCATGTTCCTCGTGTCACCCCTGTGCATTCTTCACTGAGTGTCATGTTGCAGTGAGAGTTGCCGCAAAGCTGATCTGCCATCTGTAATAATAGCAGGGAAATGGAATTTCTGGAGGCTGTTACTCTGCATGTTCCTCGCGTCACCCCTGTGCATTCTTCACTGAGATGTTGCAATGAGAGTTGCCGCAAAGCTGGTCTGCCATCTGTAATAATAGCATGCACAGTCCTTATTTCCCTGGTCATAATTTATCAGCCATTTATCGAAGTTATTCATCCAAACCAAGTGCCTTCAGGCCATCTGGGAGAGGGGCCCCAAGCTGCCTCCGTTGGCAGAGGGAAGGGTTGGCCATCACCCCCTCCGACGGCCCGGTCCACTCCTTGGGGTGGATACTGTTTTTAAGCCAACCCGCCCCCAATCTCCGTGTCTTGTGGGTAGAGACGGGGGTGGCGGGCCCGTCATAGTGTCCTCAGAGGAGAGAAAAGCAGAGCGCTGCTGAGGAAGGCTGAGGTGACAGATGAGCATTACCCCTGTGAGAGGAAACTGCTATGGGCTGAGGCCTTGTAAACCGAGGGGACCAGGAGCTGTAAGCCAGGAGGAGAGGGGAGGCACGGGGTACAGAGTGGCTCTGACCTAGCATTTCCCGACACCCCAGGGCTCAGCATAGAGTGCCACGGTGGGCCCAGGACGTGGGGGATGGGACTGCTAGGTGGCGAGAGAGGAGCTTGGGGACATTGACGTTCACGTGGCAGGCCTGTTGACTTCCAGGCGGTAGGGCCCACATCTTTCCTGGCGCTTCTGTGCGTGGGACGCCATGCGTGTGTGGGGCAGGGAAGGATGGCCGGTAGCCCACACGTCCTTGTGGAAGAGGCCAGCGGTGGCATCTCTGAGCTCACTCATAGGCCCTGCCCCAGAAGGAGAAACTGCTCAGCGTAGCTGTGCACCTTGAAGCGCGGTTGAATAGGCGCCCTTCATTCACCACTGCATTGAAGTGTAGCAGGTCACGCACACACTGACTCATCCGAAGCATGTGGCTTATAAGCGTATCAGTCCTGAAGCCAGGAAATGGCACCCACAGGACCCCTTTGTCCCCCTTGCATCCAGTAACCCCTGTGGGCACCATTTTCCTGACTTCTGGCACCTAGATTAGTTTTGTCTGTTTTTAATTTGAAGCCGTCCAGTCTACTTTTTTATTTTTATGTTTTGTCTGTGAGAGTCCCCCCCCCAGTCACGTGCAGCAATTCACCGTCGTTGCTGTAGGAGCTCCGTCGTATTTAACGCCGCGATTTGTCTGCGGACACTGGGGTTGCGTCCGGTTGTGGGTGTCGCGAACACCCTGGTCCGTGGCGTTGGCGACAGGAGAAGCGATGGCGGGCATGCGGTCAGCGTCCGCTCTCTGCTTTCGCATTTCAGCGGACGCCCGCCGTGGCCTTTGAAAGCGGCTGCACGGGGCTCACGGCCACCAGCAGCGTTTGCTCAGTCCTCGCGTGAGCTGCTTTTTAATTCTGCATTCCGGCAAGGATGTGGCGCCTGTTTTCAGTTCGTGTCGCCTTCCGATTGACCAGGACAGCTCCGAGCATGCGGTCAGCGTCCGCTCTCCGCTTTCGCGAGGGGCCTGTCCCCTCTCACTCGGTTCCCGCGCGGCCCCTGACCCCCTCTTCTGTTTGCACCTGCTCAGGTAATGCCATAAAATCGCGCTCGGTGGACGTGGAGGAGCCTCCGGCCGAGGTGCAGGGCACCCCCGCTCCGTTCGGGACTCGGGGAGAAGAGAGAAGGGCGGTGGCCGTTTCGAGGCTGCGGGAGGCCTTTTCTCTCCGTCACTCGGCAGACAAGCAGCCTCGGGGCCTGAGGCCTGCTGACCTGAGCCGCCTTCCTCGGGGACAGAAGAGCAGCGCCCCGGCCCTCCACCCTTCGGGCGCCCCGTGCCCCCCGATGCCCATCTCCGGCGCCGGCTCCTCGGGGCCTCGGGTGGAGGCGATGAGGTCGGATGGGGGCGAAGTGGACGCGGGGAAGGATTCGGGCCACAGCAGCACCCCAGTCGGCTCCGAGGAGGGGTTCAGCACCCCAGAAACGGGCAGTCGCTCCAGCGGGGACCGTGCAGCCAGCTCCCCCGATGACAGGTTTTCACAAGAAAATGCGGAGTCTTGTGAGAAGTTGCCTGAACCCGAGCATCGTTTTTCAGACGTGAAATGCCATGTTGGCCAAGAAGATAATGGCTATAAATTTAGAGCTTTGCCTCAGCCAGCTGATGTCTCCCCGTCAAACACGAAGCGTTTTAAAAAAGAAGAAATTCCTTTAAATTCCGACATCCCTCGGGAGTCGGTTACTACTCAGGACGTGTCAGTGTCTCAGGTTGATGTGGCTGTGAAAATTAATAAGAAAATGGTGCCCCTTGACTTTTCTATGAGTTCTTTGGTGAAACGGATAAAGCAGTTACATCACCAAGAACAGCAAAGAGAGAGTGAACAGAATTACAGGAAGTTCAGGGCAAAGATTTGCCCTGGAGAAAATCAAGCAGCAGAAGATGAACTGAGAAAAGAGATAAGGTAAAGTTTTCTCCGAAGCGCATTTTTGCTCATTTCAGTGAGCTGCCGTGCAAGCCAAAGGCCGGCCGATCCTTCCAGACTCTGCTTCCGCTCCTCCGGTGGCATTTGCTCTGCTGCGATGTCATCCCGTTGCCCGGGGCTGGGTGTGGCTCTGCCTTGGCACCAGGGTCTGGTCCTCTGGCCCCTCTGCCTGTCAGGGTGGTCCTAATTGGGGTCTTCCCTGCACCGCAGACTTGACATATCCCAAAACGTCAGACTTGCCAGCGCCTCTCTCTCTTCCTCCCCTACCCCCTCTTTTGCTCCCTTCTTGCTCCCTCTCGAAGATTCTAAATTTGGAGTCACCTTTGATTCCACAGATGGGTCACCAGCCTCACCAGTGCGTCCTTGGCGAGGTTTTCTCCACTCAGCTCGATTTCATTGCCTCTCACGTTTCCTGTAAATAACTATTTTACTGGGCAGTTCTGCTGCTTGAAACATTTCAGTTTTTTCCTTAGATTTCTCCTACCGTATATTTTCCATCATCTGAATTAATCGATGCCTTCTTGACACCGACTTGACGTCTCTTCCTGAAGGTTTTCAGCCCACAGTGACTTCTCCCAGCAAGGAATTCATGGCAGTTTTGGTGGATTTCCCACTTTTCATTTCAAGGTGTATTAGGAAAAATTATAACACATAGTCAACCCTGTGATTTCAAGATTGCGTAGGATAAGGCTAAGTGAAAGAGTCAGTTTAAAGAAAAATGTTAATAATACCAATAGAAAACACTGCCACTTTTTTGACCATAATCATGTACGACATCGTGACTTGTTAAAATGTTGAATCCTCTTGAAATACTTAACTTTTATCTTTTAAAACTTTGGTCATTTACTGAGATATGCCGTGTCCTGTACACAATGCAACCCACTAAGTACGCTGAACCTTTATAGCATTTTCAGCCTGGACCACACAGGCTTTGCCTAAGCTAGATGATAAATTCTTCAACAGTGAGTGTTCTACCACGTAATTCCTTTGATATTCCTAGGGCCTAGTTTACACTGAGAAAAGTCTTCAGGAAATAGTTCCTTTAAAAAGTGTATAATTAATGGAGGTGAACTTCGAGTGTGATCTGAGGACTGTGAACTCAGATCCAGTGAAGAGATCCAGTTTCCTTTAGACTTGCACACGCTCACTCACACTCATAGAAAGTATGTGCTTGACAGGGAAAGACACGTACGGTACCCAAATTAAAGCTGGTTGTCTTTTATCTTGAATTCTTTTAGCCCCCTCAGTGAGAGAAATTAATTGTAATTTTAAAATACAGATTTTAATCAACAACCGTTTATTCATCACCTGTTATGGTTCTTGAATTTTTTTTCATCAGAAGAATGATCTTTTAAAATGTCTTATAATTAACATCTTCTACACGCAGTAAAACAATGTTTGCAGAAATGGAAATCATTGGTCAGTTTAACCTGGGATTTATAATCACCAAACTGGACGCGGATATCTTCATAGTGGACCAACACGCGACGGACGAGAAATACAACTTCGAGATGTTACAGCAGCACACAGTTCTCCAGGGTCAGAGGCTTATAGCGTAAGTTCATTTCGGTGTTTAGAATTTTCAGGGTCATTTCAACCCCCAAATTTGAGGTATAATGGCTTACGTGTGTGTCTACATATATTGACATAATTTTTTTTTTTTAGGCGAGGCACCCCTTGGTTGACCTCACAGATTGCAAGGACCTTGTCTGCTTACAATCCCTTATTTTTTTCTTTTTTATGCCCACAGCACCTGGTCTTCCAAGGTGGTCTCCCATTCAAGTACTAACCAGGCCCGACCCTGCTTAGCTTCCGAGATCAGATGGGATCGGGCGTGTTCAGGGTGGCATGGCCATAGATAAATGTTTTTTTTTTTTTGTCATAAGCATCCCCTACGGCAGATTTTTACCCTTTTTACACGATAATTGTACCTGCCATTTCCTGAGTGCTTATTGCGTGCCAGGCACTGTCAAAGCAGTATACGTGTGTTAGTTCTTTTAACTCTCTCCAGCCTAAGAGGTCGTTACTGTTACCACATTTCACAGGTGACAGAACTGAGGCGCACGCACAGAGAGGTTCAACTTAAGTATCAAACCTTTTCAGCTATTTAAAATGTCGATCGCGGGTCGGCCAGAAAATCCTTTTGCTGACGGGCAGTTTGTAGTACGCAGTACGTCTCTCCGTAGACTTTGTGTGTTCAGAGAGACAGCGCTGCCGGTCAGTCCCTCAGCTACAGTAGGTCGGTTCCGGTGACTTGGTAGTCACTGCAGATTTTGATGTCACAGGTGGGGTGATGGTATGTCCTGTAAACCAGAAGTCTTAAGGAAAGTTATAAGAAAAGGTCTTGGATGTTCATTTGGGAAATTAAACTACATAGAGAAATAAACTCAGATCCCAGCAGAAGCAGATCCTGGCACGAAGCAGTCCCTCAGCTAGGTGAATACTCCTAGGTTCCCGAGTTCTCTATTTCCTCTGGAATGTGTTCATTGTGTTTATTTTCGGGAGGAATAAATGGCGATAGTAAAGACTTTTAATAAGCTGCTTTATGACATTTCCTCAGAGGAACGCTCCCCGAGTCCCTCTCTCTCCAGGTTGAGTTTCTCTTGCTCTTTGCTCTCACGGTGCGATTCTCGGTGTAGTTTGCAGTTATAGTGCATTTGGCTGCGTGATCGGCGCCTTCCTCCTCCACGAGACTAGGCTGTGAGGACAGAGGGCGGGTCTTTGCGGGCTCACCAGCCCGTCGCATCCCTTGAGCAGCGTCTGTCTTACTCAGCACTGGTATATCCGGGAGGAGAGATGGCTGGGCTGCCGGATGGACGGATAAATAATGCAGGCAGAGGAAGGTGCGGGATGGCAAAACAAATGTTGTTTATTCTGTTTTCCGATGCAGTGACCTAACCCAGCTTTTCAAATTGTCTTTATTGTGAGGAGGAAAAATAGCATTTTTATGTTCTATTGTTATCTTTAAGGAGAGGAGGGTTCAAAAAAGGACTGAGACCCGGGGTGGGTGGGCAGACTGAGGAACAACAAACTACTATCGATTGTAGTTACTTCTGGAATGAACTTTAAAAAAAAAATTAAAAGGAAATTCTCAGAGACTTCTGTGACAGGAAAGGCACGCAGCTCAATGAAGTCTTGTTATTCATGGTACTTTTTGAAATGCATTCAAGGAATCAGTATTGTCTTTATTTTTCTGCTTGATAGTTAAATGCTTGGTTTCAAGATATGGTTTGAATCTCTCCTCTGTTTTTCAGACCTCAGATTCTCAACTTAACTGCTGTCAATGAAGCTATTCTGATAGAAAATCTGGAGATATTCAGAAAGAATGGTTTTGATTTTATTATCGATGAAAGCGGTAAGTTATTACTTACAACTATAGAACTGTGTCCTTTTAGAGCTGGGGACCATCTTTGCAGTCACGTAGATCAGAGCATTTTATAAGACATGAAAATGGTTCTCCCAAAAGCAATTTAGGTCTGCCCTGTCTTTTAAACGTTCATTACGAGCAGCACGCAGCGGTTTTCAAATAATGGATTTTTCTCCCAATTTTATTCTTTTAGCTCCAGTCACTGAAAGGGCTAAATTGGTTTCCTTGCCAACTAGTAAAAACTGGACCTTTGGACCTCAGGACATAGATGAGCTGATCTTTATGCTCAGCGACAGCCCCGGGGTTATGTGCCGGCCTTCCCGCGTCAGGCAGATGTTTGCCTCCAGAGCCTGTCGGAAGTCGGTAAGTAGAGGAAGCTCCTCCGCCAGGCCTGGGGGTCCGCGCAAACGTGTGGTCCCCAGGGGCCCTCGGTTCCTCTCCTGACCGGTCAGCATTGCTAAGTGTGGCCGTGATCGCCATGGGTCATCGTATGTGCAGAGCCTCATCTCTCCGTGGATACAACACATCTGCACATCTGCGGTGCCTTTGACCCCTAACTCGTAACTATTGCTCTTTCTCTGCTTCCTGTCAAGCGTGTTCTCTCTCAGAGCTTGCACTGAGCCCAGAGCAGTTAGCCAGCCACGCACGCTTTCCTGTGTCCCCGATGGGTAATAACGACATCAGTGGCTAGAGACGTGCACACAAGGTCACTGAGGGCCGTTCAGTCAGCGGGCTTTTCACAGGGGGCAGCACGAAGCTCAGGCCGGTACTGGAGAGTGGGAGCAGTGGTCGGTGGTTAGCCTGGTGTCTGTCCAAGTAAAGTAAGTCACTGTGTTATCGCCTGGCCCACAGGAAAGGCCAGGGTGACAGTCCTCTCTTTATTCAGTAGATATTCCCTGAGCCCCTGCTTTGTGGCTCGCCCTGTTCCAGGTCCTGGGGACACAGAGGCACAAGGCAGATGAGGTCCTCACCCTCGTGGAGCTTATAGTTTAGTGAGGAGAAGTAGATATAAAACAATGACAAGTTCAGATACCGGTAAGATCAGTAAAGTAATCGAAATAGTATCGGGATAGGGAGTGACCCGAGGAAAATGAGGTGAGCAGTTGAGATCGGGTGTCAGGGAAAGGCTGTCTGAGGAGGTGACATCTGAGCTGACACTTGGCAGGTGAGATGAAGCCCCTTGGGTCAGAACTTTCCAAATAGAAGAAATAGCAAGTGTGAGGGCTTGGGGTGTTTGAGCAAAGCCAGAGGCTGAGGCGCATGACTGGGGTTGGGGGGACCAGGATGAGCCCCGCACAGGGTTCAGGGACCCCCGTAGCGTCTCGCCGGCCCTGGTCAGAACCGGGGGGTTTGTGCTGCACGGTGGGGCCGCTGAGGGTCAGCATGGTGGAGAACAGCCAGCGGTAGGTGCCATGACAGGAATGGGGGGTGGGAAAAGCAGCAGCTCTTTTACATTGGCGGGGTAGGTGGGATTAAGAGTCCTGTTCTAATGGGGAGTGCAGTATAGGGAACATAGTCACTAATATGGTGACGGCTGTGTGGTGCCGGGTGGGTGCTGCAGTGATCAGGGGTCACTTCGTAACCACATAAGTGTCTAACCATCGTGCCGAATCCCTGAAGCAATATAGGAAAAGACTCGTGCTTCAGCCAAGTTCTAGTTGGGATTCGGTTGGACGATAAGTGGACGTGTCTGAAACCGTCAGGGGAAGTGTCCGTGCTGGGAACAAAATTTTAGGTGCATGTTATAGCCACGGGATTGGATGAAGTTACCCAAGGGCAGAGTTTAGTTCGAGCAATGACTAGGGCCCCACATCTGACTTTCAGCCACAGGCTTCTTTGAAAAAGACCCAATATTGATCTTCTAATCCTGGAGCTTACGAGTGAGAGTTCGAGCTGGGACTGGCCTGTGCCAATAGCCAGGCAATTAAAATTATGTCTTAATGTGACTCAGATCCTCGGAGCCACAGGCTGCTCCTTCACACCCCACCCTGGCGGGTCCATCCTGCTGTAGCTCTCCTCCGACCTCCAGTGGGTACACCTGCTGCCTGGTGTGGGCTTCCCCGGGCCCCGGGCCCTGTGCTCCGGCCTGTCCGGCCTGCCTGCCCTTCAGCCCTCCTGCCCTTCAGCCCGTCTGCTGTGCCTGTCTGCCGACCAGCCGCTCTGGCCTCCTTCCCACCTCGGGCCCTTTGCGCTTGTCTGTCTGCTGGATTCCTCACCCCACAGACCTTCACGGACTGGGCTTCCTCCTGTCCTCGGAAGAAGCAGCCCCTCCGGGCTCAGCCCCCTGGGCCATACTTGTCTTGTTCTTCTGTTAATTTGTCTGTTGTCTGTCTTCCTCCAATGTGGCAGAGCCCGACCCTGCATCCTGCTGCCCTATATATCTCGCCTCTAGGACTGTGCCTGGCACATGGAAGAAAGGTGGCAGGTTCGGGCTTGTCTCCTCTCACCACCTCCCTGGTCTTGAGGGTCTCAGTTTCTCTGCTCGCTGTGGCATCTGCTCGTCTCTGTGTATAGGTCTGATAGTGACATGTGCTATGGAGAAAAAGCAGGGTGAGCGCTAGAACAGACAGGGAGAGCTTGAGAGGCCGCAGGGACATTTGAGCAGAAGCCTGAACGAAGAGGAAGTGAGACATGCAAATATTGGCAGAGTCTCCCCGGGAGAGGGCACAGCCAGTACCAAGGTCCTGAGGAGGTGCTCGCTTTATGTACTTGTGCAAGAGGAAAGGGGTGCCAGTGAGGGCCGAATCAGGTGATGCACTTGGGCATTTATTCAGGTGAGAGGGGAGGGCCGGGGGGAGGAGCCACGTGACCTGACAGGCCTTTAGGAGGAATGACTGGCGGTAGCATGCAGACCCGTGGAAGAGGACGGGAGTGGGGAGCAGGGAGGCCGTTAGGAGGCTGTGTCGGTAGCCCAGGTGAGAGGCAGGGCAGCTGGGATGGAGGGAGAGCTGGAGGCGCCGAGGCCGGTGGGACTCTGGACAGGTGTGGTCAGCGTCTCCGGTAAAGGTGCGCTGCTGCGAAGGAGCTCGGAGGGGCGGGACCTCACGGGAAGGTGGGGGGCTGAGCTATTAGGAGGCGGGGCTCTCTGCGGGAAGGTTTTCCAGGGAGTGTTTCTCAGTTGCAATCTTGTCCAGCTTTGTTTTCGAGAAACAGATGTCTGAAGAGTTGCTATTCTAATCAGAACGGAGTCACACTTTATACCGTTGTTCTCATATTCAGGTGATGATCGGAACTGCTCTTAACACAGGTGAGATGAAGAAACTCATCACCCACATGGGTGAGATGGACCATCCCTGGAACTGTCCCCACGGAAGGCCGACCATGAGACACATTGCCAATCTGGATGTCATTTCCCAAAACTGACATGTTTTTCATTGAACTATAAATCTTATTGCAGATTTTTCTGCTTTGAAAGGCAGGGTTTTAGTCTTTTGTTTTTGTTTCAAAGTTAACTGACTACTTTAAAAAAAGTACCAGAGCCGTTTAGAAATGGCCTCGCGAACCTTTTAGAACCGTGTGGAGCATGGCTTGCCTTGTTTTTCTGTTCCGCATTTGAGTGTGTGTGCGTGTGTGTGTGTGTGTCTGTGCGTGTCTATGTGCATTCAGGCAAGAGCATGTTTTACAGAACTAGGAAGAGCACTTTGGAAGTTACTCAGGCCTTTGCTTTGGCCCAGCATATTTTAGGCTTCTGTTTTAAGCACTTGATGATTAAATTTGCAGTGGTTTAATTTCACAAATTTAAAATTATGGTCTTTTGAGGTTAGTGGTTTTTATCATGAGACACATTAAATTAAAACAAAACAAAACCAGGAAGAATCCAGAAAACTCAACTGGGACTCTCTGCCTAGCTGGGAAAAACGACCTGGTGGGGCTGGAGTCATGGTTTTTAAATATTTCCTGCTGCTGCTGGGGCGTCACAGCCCTGTTGTAGGTGAGAGGAAATAAAAGGTTCTCTGTTGCCTGTAACTTTGATGCTGTGATGTGGTCTCCTTGGGGTGTGACCTGTGAGAGATTCTAGTTACTGGCTGAGTGGTGCTAGAGATAGAAGGATCCCCGTGTGCTGTGTCAAATGAGTTTTCATGGACTCTGCAAAGAATGCAAGTAAAAATGCCCTCTGCGGAGCCCCCTGAGTCCCAGCAGGGGTCAGGGTACAGTACGTGGCAGGTGCACACTACATCCCTGCCCCCACAGTGGGCCTCCTGGAGAGAGAGCTTCCAGTTACAAACTTAGAATTCCTTGGGTGTAACGAGACAGCCAGGTAGTAATTACCAAGTATCATGTCGAGCACTAGGCTGTTGTGCCAGTCTGCAGGGTCTCATTTAATATTTGCAAGAACTCTGCAAACGGGTTTCTGGTAGGCAGGCCCTCCAAAGATGGCAGTGGCCTAATCCCAGAACCCTTGAATATGTGACCTAAACGGCCAAAGAGGGGCTTGTAAGTGTGATTAAGGATGGGCCGTGAAATGGGGAGAGTGTCCTGGATTGCTGGGCTGGGGCGAGGCGGGGAGGCAACCTATCCCATGACATCGAGAACCTTTCCCAGCTGGACCAAAGAGATGCAACGTGGCTGACTTAGGGAAGAAGGCAGCCTCTAGAAGCTGGAAAAGGCAAGGGAATAGATTCTCCCCTGGAGCTGGCAGGAGGACCAGCCCTGCTGGACGCCTAACTTACAGAACCGTGAGGTGGTGAACTTGAATTGCTTTAAGCCACCAAGTAAGTTCGGGGTAGTTTGTTTAAAGCAATGGAAGACTAACGCCTGACCGAGTTAATTATTCCCATGTTACGGGGAACATAAAGGCTGAGAGAGGCCACGTGGCAATGAGCAGAGCCAGAAAAACCCAGGTCAGGTGCGTCCAGCTCCAGATTTCCATCTGGCCTGGATCAGAAGGGCACAGAGCACTGATGCTCCGCAGCTTCTTGGAGGCGTGGTGGCCCCTTTAAGGATGGGGCGGGGCTCGCGGTTGCCTGGAGACCGACCCAGTCAGGACGCGCAGGTCCCGCATCGCCACCGCTGGGCCTGGGGGAGCCAGCTGAGCGTCTGGAGCTTGGTGGGCACCCGGAGCGGGATCCCAGCGTCCCCGGCCGGTGGTCCTTTGTCCGCCACGGCGGACGTGACAGCCAGTGCCGGCTCTTCCTCCGCTTACCTGACCGGACTCCCAGTACCTGGGCAGGTGCATGGTGGTGGAGGAGGGCTTTGGGGAGGGGCAGAAAGTGCGGGGACCCCCAGGCTCAGAATGCAGCTCCTTCTGCGCTGCCTCAGGAAAGAATAAACAGTCACGAGAATACGGTGTCAAGCCAGGGAGGACAGAGGAAACAAGTTAATAGGAAACATGCCCTGAGAAACGAAACTTGCCTCACTCGTAGTTCAGATGTCTCTCTGATCGGAGTTGAGAGGTGAGAGCAGCTCGCTTCGCAGCCCGACAGTGACGGGCGAGGGTGGGGGCTGGAAAGAGTATCGGGGTTTTGAAGGAAGAGAGAAGCAGGACATGAGTGTAAGAGCCAAGCCGGAGGAGGCGATGAGCAGCCGGCAGGTGGGCCGTCCGAGGATGCCGTCCACCCGGAGCGGGGCATGGGGAGCCCTCTGCACCCTTGGGGCAAGTGAAGAGGGACCTCGCCCTGCCCTCCAGGACTCATCTGTGCGTCCTGTGCTTTGGGAGGCTTTCCGTGAGGCCAGATTTACAGGGCTTTGGAAACCGCGTCTTCGGAGCCCCGCCCCTCAGCTCTGACCTTGGGCGAATGATTAGCAAGCACGCAGTTTCCTGTCTGGCCCTGGAGGCGCTCAGTCAGCGGCAGTGCTGGCATGGGGAGTAGGCGCCGAGGATTTCAAGTTCAAAAATAGGAAAGCGACATGAAGTAATCACTCTGTGATTGTGTGCGCTTTTCCATGCTTTAGAAATGTTTTGTGCCTCAATCTATTTAACTCTTATAAGGAAACTAGGTATATTATTCCTTTTTGATATCTGAAGCAGGGCATCAAGTAACTTGCTCCAGAGCACACGGCTGTTAAAAGGTGGAGCCTGAGTCCAGCTCTGAGCACTTGGCCACACTGACATATTAGGGGACAAGCTTTTAAAGTGTGAACTGCCAGCATGTAGGACCTTACGGGATGAGTAGCCATTTTTCGTGGACAGGATTATCGATCTCACTGAAAGACTGTTTGAAAATAGTAGATGTGGTTCCAATTTAAAAAATTTTAGAAACAACCAATGCAATATTACGGCTGCATTTTTATAAATGGGTGGCACTTGTTACTTGTAGCTTTTCAGGCTTTGGAAGAGAATGAGAATGGCATTGGGCTGTAAAGCGAAACTTTTAACTTCAAGTGAAATCCTCAAGTATATCTCACTGAAAGACTGTTTGAAAATAGTAGATGTGGTTCCAATTTAAAAAATTTTAGAAACAACCAATGCAATATTACGGCTGCATTTTTATAAATGGGTGGCACTTGTTACTTGTAGCTTTTCAGGCTTTGGAAGAGAATGAGAATGGCATTGGGCTGTAAAGCGAAACTTTTAACTTCAAGTGAAATCCTCAAGTATTTAGACATACTTTTTTTTTTTTTTTTCCAGATAAAACTCATCAGTGCCCTGAAACGAACGGCTCTCAGCCAAGGAATCACGTGATCCGCATATAAACGGACATCCAAGGTGATGGTGAAGGAAAAGAAAAAAGCAGACAAGAAAGGGGAGAAGTTCTCCCACTCGCCCTCATCTCTCTTTGATTATCCGGAGGTTTCCAAACAAAATGGCAATGCCGCGAAGCCCGAAGTGTCCCCCAGCGCTATCCCACCCTTGGAAATGCAGCTCAGTGAACCGGGACCCAAAAGAGAGTCCAAAGACGAAAGTCCAAAGGTTGAAGACATCAGTGGATATGAAGAGCCCATTCTGACCAAGCTCATCGTTGAAAGGTGATCTCGGCGGGAGGCTTTGTCTGTGTTCTTTTCTACCCTGCTAAGCTCTGTCTTCTCCCCATACCTTCTCCCTCCCTCCTTCCCCACCTTCCTCCCTCCTTCCCTCCCCACCGCTCTCTCTCTCTCTCTCTCTCTCTCTCTCATATTGCAGCTTCACCTGCCATTCATTACCGCTTGACTGGGCTTCTGGACTCTGCTTCTGGTCTCTCTCCCGAGGCCTGTATAGATTTACCTTTCAAATGCACGGCCCCGTTTTAACACATCACTCCCTGTATTAGTTACCTATGTAACAAATTACCCTAAAACATGACAATTAAAACACAGATATCGTCTCACACCGTGTATGGGGGTCAGGAGTCTGGAAGCAGCTTGGCCGGATGGTGCTGGGTTTCAGGATCTCATGAGATTCAGCCAAGATGTCAACCAGGGCTGTCGTCCTCTGCAGGCTTGGCTGGCCGGACACGTGCTCTGCTTTCAGAGAGGCTTCGTGGCACGGCTGCCGACAGTTCCTTGTCACACGGACCCTCCCCACAGGGTTGCTTGAGTGTCTTCGCGACGTGGCAGCTGGCTTCCCCAGAGAATGGCTCGGGAGAGCAAAAGCAGAAGCCACGTGTTTTTTGACTTAGTCTCAATGTCACTGTCATTGCTGCAACATCCCGGTGGTCACAGAGGTCATCTCTGTCCTGTGTGGGAGTTGACTCCACGTGGGCGTGACTCACCCAAGGGGAGAATTCTGGGAGCTGTTTGGAGCCTGACCAGCACCCTCCTCTTAAAAACTTAGTTCTTTTCCATTGTCTACAGAATAAAACGCCTTAGCCGGCCTCTCTCCTCCCAAACACCGGAGCAGAACGCGGCTGGACTTGTCCCCATAAACCCGTTTATTTCTATCTTTGCTTACAAAAAGCGCCCTTCCTGGAAGGTCTGTCCCTCCTTTCTAAGAGACCAAATCTCACCCACTCTTCAAGGTCCAACCTTTTCCATGAATTCTTCCCAAGAGGAAGTCACTGTCCTCAAAACTTACACTTAGCACTTTCTATTATGCGTTAACTATAGACCTACTATATATTACTTTCTATTACATGTATATTATGTGTGAATTACTCGAATTTGTCTATAGATCTCAACTTTTCTGCCAGGCTGAAATTCCCTTCATAGCAGAGATACACTCCGAGTATCAAACGCCAGACCTCAGGCCCAGCAGGGACTCAGTCAACATTTCTGGTTTATCGATGAGTTCCTGTATGCCGGCTCTGGGTTGAGCACTATAGAAGGATATTAAAAAGTAGGAAATATGGTCTATATTTAAGTTCCTTGACCTTCCCCATTAACTAGAACCTCCAAAACAATATTGAATCCTGAGTGATAAAAGCAGGCAATCCCATTCATGTTCCCGATTTTAATGAAACTGATTTCAGTATTTTACTCTTAAAAATCATGTATGCGATTGTGTTTTCACAGGCTATTCTTGCTTAAGTGCTTTCCTCATAATATTCATTACTTGGAATTTTTAAAGAAACGATTGCTGAATTTTTATCAAATACCTTTCTGGCATCTTGATTTAGTGATGTAATGAATTATATGTATAGATTTTCTGTGTTTAATCTTCCTTGTATTTTCGGAATGAGCCCAGTTTGCTCATGGCTGTCACAGGCTCGCTCACCTCAGAGCCTAGGGATGAGCTAGGCGATCAATCACAGATCATCCAGTCAGTTCCGAGTTAAGAATCTGGTCAGTGTTCTCGGTACCTGCCTCGCCCAAAGCCAGCACGTCAGCAAGCCCTTGGGGCTCCGTGCTGAGAATATTATATTAGAAAAATCAAAAGAGAATCAGTCAAATGTACATAACACAAAGTTTACTATTTTAACCGTTTTTAAGTGTACAATTCAGTGGCATTAAGTCCCCTTACCATGTTGTGTAACCATCACAACTATCCACTTAAACACTTTTTCTTCACTCCAGAGAAACTGCCCAGAATAGACGGTAACCTTCCATGCCGCCCCCCGCCCATGCCCCCCGCACCCCACGGCTTCCTCCTGGCAGCTGCTCTGCCCACGGTCTTTCCTCCACACAGGAGCCGGAGTCATCTTTTTAAGAAATAAATCTGATCTTGTTCAGCTCACCTCTTAAAACGCTCTCACGATTCCTCCTATAGCTTTGGTCTTCATTCCAGCCCACCGCTCCCGCCCTGCCTGGGGCTGCCCTCCTGCTGCCTCCTCTGACTGTCCCCTGCCCTCTCTCCCTCCCTCCACCTGCTGCTCTCCTGTCTCTTGGCTGAACCTGAGCCGCCAGGCTCTCCTGCCTCCGGGCCTTTGCACTTGCTGTTCCCACTTCTTGGGATCCTCTTCCCAAGGATCTTCTCATGGACGTTTGTCTCTAGTCCTTCCGGTCTCAGTATGGCTCTCGTGTCCTCGGCGAGGCCTCCCCACTTCCACAAAAATCGGACACGATCCGGCATCACCTCGTTTTCTGTCGACTGTCTGTCTCTCCTCGGTGAGCCGGAAGCTCCCGAGGGCAAGAACTTTCCAGCATCACTGCCCTAGCCCCGGCCCTTAGAAGGGGGCGGGCATGGGGTGGCCCTCGGCGGGCGGGGGATGTGCGTGTTGAGTGAATGAGTTTGAGATGTGCTTCTTCATTCCCGTTACTGGTGCATCTTAACCCGCTGTCACTTAGATGTACGCACACCATTCGTTACCGGGAACTTTCTTTATTTCCCTGTAGCTACGAAGGGGAAAAAGTCCGCGGACTCTACGAGGGAGAAGGCTTTGCCGTCTTCCAAGGAGGCTGTACCTACCAAGTGAGCTCGGCGTTCGGGGAGTGGGCGGGGAGGAAGGTGTGGGGTGACCGTTTTAGATTTGTGTCTTCGGAAAGGTCCGCTGAGTCTTCGAAAGAAATTAGAAGTACTTAATGCCGACTTTGTTTTGAACCGATTATATATTTTGAGTTAAAAACATGGCTCAGTACAACCGAAGTAGTCATTTTAGATTTTTTTCCTTTCCTGATTTTATTGTGCAAACCACACTAAGGACACTGCGGTAAATCACGAAGAGTAAAATCCCAGTATCATCAGCCTTTTGCCGTAAATGTTTTCGATTTGCTATGTTCCTTGTAGTCCCTGAACGGAGGTATCAGAGTATTTTCACACGGGCGTATCCATTTTGTAGATAGCATCGTCTTGGACCTTTTTCCAAGAATCTTTCCTTCTCTGTATTGCCACGTGGTTTCATAACTTAAATTGTTTTATTGTGGTAAAATGGATATAACATCAAACTTACCACTTGGACCATTTGCAAGCGCCCAGTTTGGTGGCGGTGAGCGCCCTTACCATGCTGTGCAGCCGTCCCCACCGTCCCTCCCCAGGCCTTCCGCATCGGCCCGAGCTCATTCCAGACCCATCCAAAGCCAGCGCCCCATTCCCGCCTCCGTAACTTTAAACGGTGCATATAGTGTTCTGATTCACTATTCCCAACTGTCGTGGGATACTTTGGGGGTGTTTTCGTTTTTTGCCTTTATTAATAATGGATTCCTTCAGATCATCAAAGCGATACGTGATTCTCACAGAACGCCTCTCTGTGGTCGAGGCCGTGGCATGGGTTTTAGTACCCATGTTTTGCCCCTTTAACATACAACACGTTCATTTTCCCGTGTCACAAAAACTGCAAAAAAAAAACATGGACGCGGACTGGATTTACAGCCCACGTCTAGCAACCGCACAGGACTGCCCGGCGTCGGGTTTAGGGAGCTGGGCTTTTCTAACTCCTCCTCGGATCCTTTTTGGAACGGGGTGACGCCGGTGCGGTGCCAGCTCCAGAGAGGGCTCTGTCGCCGTCGCTGAATGAGTAGACAAGCGTGTCACACGGATGGAAGGGGAAGCGGGGCTGAGCCCACGGGTGGCCTGGTGTTTTACATGTTGTCTCGTGAAACCGGCGACGGCTCCTAAGGGTTTGTTGTTCTGTTTCGAAGGGCATGTTTTCAGAAGGACTCATGCATGGACAAGGGACTTACATTTGGGCCGATGGATTGAAGTATGAGGTAAAGCGTGTCATACGTCATAGTTCTGAACTGTCATTGTGAGACTTAATGGTCAGGTCCCCACAACTAAACATACGACTTTATAAAAGTAATTCGGCACAGAGGTTAAAGCCACAGAACCAAAGAACATAGGCGAAAAGTAACTCGCTACTGCCTGGGGCCCTCTGGTGTTGTCATCTGTACGTTCTAGAGGGTTCTGTGCGTGTGCTTGGCCTCGCCTGCTTTTTACAGACGCAAATAGTTTACTATACACTCTCTTCTGTACCTTCATTTTGCAGAGCTCACCCCATATCCATTCCTCCTGACCTCCCTCTTTTTACTGTCTGCTTGTGTTTCGTTATGGGGAATCCATCTTGCTGGCTGAGGGGAATACGTATTTTTAAATTGGCTGCTAGAACCAAGCTGCCCCCCAAGAAAGGGCCAGCTCTTC